GTTGATGTGTATGGGGAGAGATGAGGGGGCTCAGAGAGAATTTGGATCTGTGAGAGAGGTTGATGGGATATAAGGCTATAAGGGAATTTTTAAAATATTCTTAGTTCTGTGAATCATATTCATGATCATGTGTAGATATTACTGTAGTCCGGCCTCTGTGGAAGTTGAGGATTGGTGGATAGTGTTGTTAAAAAAAGTGTCTGGACTGGACATGGTGGCACATGTCTCTAATCCCATCTCTTGGGAGGCTGAGGCAGGAATCATTTCACGCCAGTGCAAAAATGAACCAACAAAACGAACCTCAAAAAGTGACTGGAGTGAAGATGGGAAAATACAAATAACTCCTGTCTAAACTACCCTCCATACAATTCTGTTGAAACATGTATCTTCAGGGTTTTTTATTTCCTCTCTCCCCTTAATGGAGTATCATAGGTTTGAGTTCTAAAGTCAGTGGAGGGCCACCATGGACTTGTTACCCCCTCTAGGAGACATGTCAGATATAACCTTCCTTCTGTCATTAGGCACTTGGCCTGAACTTGTTGGAAAGCCCTTTTCTCTGATAGTACTTACCTGAGACTTTGATAGAGCCTGAAGTTAAATAAAATAAAATAAATAAATAAATAAATAAATAAATAACCTGAAGCAATAATATTGAAGTCATTTCCATAGAATTCAGGAAGTTTAAGGCTGAACAGGTCTTTAGATTAGCTGTGAATTATTCTGCCCTCTGTATTCTGAGCAGAAATGACAGGACAGTGATAGAAATGGCACTTGTCACTGAAAACCACCTACATACAAAAGCTGTTGATTTCCCAATTCTCTCTCTCTGGACCTGCATGCAAAATTGTGTTTTCTGTAAGATTTTTGCATACTAAGCTTGAAAAAATCCTGAGCTTTTTTGTTGTTGTTTAATAAAGAGTATGATTTAGGTTACAAATGTAGCTTAGCACTTGTCTGATGTATGTAGCACAAGGCCCTTTGTTCAATCCTCAGTACTGCAAAACAATACTACTACATTCTCCCCATGTGGTCAAGTCTTTTCATGTTACCTAGCACAGGGCTCTAGTGCACACCCTTTGCTCCAGTCATCCACATCTCAGGGTCTGCTACGCACCTTGTGTATGTTCCTGTCACTTACCTTATGCCATGCTTTCTTTCTGCCTATAGTTTCCTCCCCTTTTTTGCTCTTAAATTAAGGTCAAGCACAGGGAAGGCCACTGGAATGTCATCGTGTGCATAGGCATATACTGTTGGGATGTTTTTTAACCATTAAGAGCAAATGTCATTTTTATACCAATTTGATCATTGGCTTCCATTGAGCCTGTCCCCCACCAGTCTAGCACATTCAAATCCACTTAATATTAGTTGTGATATCAACGTGTACTTAACTCTTCTCCATGGGCTGTCTGTTACAGTGCAATCATGTTTGGATATTGTATGTAGCAACAGTAGCTCATGTATTTATCAATACCTTGTCAAGCCTCTTATGTTCAAAGATTTAAGATAAAAGTGATTCCATATAGATTCTTATGTAGCAGACCATGCTTTGGGAACCACATTGCTTAGTCTGTCTTCCATGTTACTTTCTCCACCCTAATGATCTGTTGTGTATATTTGTTTTTTCTCCAAATTAGGAAGCCCTCCATTGTTTATCTGTATGCCTCCAGTGGGACTGTCCACTGTATCTGTAACATAATGACACAGAGGAAAGATTTGCTTGTGTTTTCCCACAGGATCAACCAAAAAAAAAAAAAAAAAAAGAGCAAATGTTATTATCCCTAGTAGTCCACAAACACCTTTAAGGCAGTTAGCACCATACTCTGATGCAGTAGCTGCAAAACATTACTTGTTGAGTAAAAAGGCCAGAGACAGACTTTATTTTAAAGGGAAGAATGCTCTTAGTAAGAAAGCTCAGTGGTTAAGAGCACTTGCTACTCTTGCAGAGGACCTGAGTTTGGTTCCCAGCCCGTGTCGGGCAGATCATAACTACCTATACCTTCAGCCTCAGGGGATCTGATGTTTATATCGTCTGAGGGCACCTGCACATATGTGGGATACAGACAGAGACACACATACACATGTAAAGGGGGGAAAGATACCTATTGAGAAGAGGTAATCATTGTTATGTTCTTGTCCTAAGTTCATTCACTCTTTGCTCAAATCTTGGTTTAGTGCCTCCAGCACATCATGTACCACACTAGGCTCTGGAGATTGAGATAAAGATGCTAGCTTTGCCATATAAGAACTCTAATTTAGGTGGGACTCAGATATATAAAAAGGTAATTACAATTAGGTGCTGCTGCAAATATTATTGTAACATGAGTGCTTTGGAGCATAAGAAACAAATTAACTCTATGTGGTATCTAATGTTTTTCCAAGGGAGGAAATAAGGTTGGACCTATAGGGGTGAAGGGTCCAGAGGGAACCTTCCCCAGAACAATTTGTGTTAAAACATCAAAGCATATTTAGGAAAACGTGAAAAGCTTATTATAGCCAGTCTTTTTGAAAGCTCTAGTATTAGAAGGACTATCGTATGATGGTAGATGAGAGTAAGTCAGTTGGAACCAGGTTGTAACCCAGCTTATACCCTATATTGAAGAGTACAGATCTTTCTCCTTGAAGTGTAAAGAACTACTGGCAGTTTTTAAGCAAGGATATATTATAATTACATCTGTGTGAAGGGGTGATTTTATGTAGGGGAAAGATTGGAATGCAGTTAGGATTTTTTTTTTAATGTGTATGAGTGTTTTGCCTGCATTTGGGTAAGTGCAATGCCCACAGAAGCCAGAAAAGGGTATCGGATCCCCTGGAACTGGAGTTATGGGCATTGGGTGTTGGGAACAGAATCTGGGTCCTGTGGAAGAACAGCAAGCACTTTTAACCGCTGAACTCTCTCTCCAACCCCTACAGTCAGGAGTTTTAAAGATTTTCTAGTGGTCTAGGAGTTATCAAGGATGAGGGACTATAAATGGGACCCATCTGAGGGCTAGCACTTGTCTCAGATGACAATGGACTAGAGTGTGAAATAAAGAAGACATTCTCTAGGCCTTCAGAAGGTCTTTGGCTTTGTTTACCACTCCCCAATCCCCCGCTGGGCTTCCCTCATTCCTGTCATAATATGCATACTCCACACATATCCCTCTCCTCCTCTTTATACACTAATCATTAACAATGATCAGCTTATTGAGGTTATTCTGATTTTTCTTGATTCTGTTATCAGACTTCATTAATATAAGACCAAATCCAACCTGTTGCCTTTTTTTTTTTTTTTGTAATATAAAGTGTTACTGGAATCATTTATGTGTATTCTGTGATTGATTTCACTTTACAGTGGTAGAATTGGGCAGAGTTTAAACCATAGACCTCAACTCTATGATTGAAACCAAGATTGAAATAGTTACTGTGGCCTAGTATAGAAAATGTTTACTAATCTCTGGTCTAAACTAGCAGTATCTGCTGACAGAAATGAGGGAAGGGATTTACAGTACTTCCCATGGATGCTATATTCTTGAAACTTTGCAAAACTTAGGGTCATTTTTACTAGTTACTTTTCAGTGAGTAGGATTCAAAAGAAAAAGTAGTATAATTAAGGAAAACTATTTGCAGATGCAAATTTAAATTAACTGGTTGTTGGACTGGTCATTAAAATGATGTATGAGATTAAAATATTGCCCTTGCTGAGCTAGCTATTGACTTATCTAAGAACCATCTAGAGAGCTGATTATTTTTTATCATTTAACAAAAAAAGAACAGTTCTGAAGCATTATAAAGATTAAGAAAACTAGAGGGCTAATAAAGCAGGAAATTGGAGACCTTTAGGCTCGATCATCCTGTGAGATTGTTCCTGATATTGAGAGTACACAGCTAGAGCCCAAGATTTCCTGCAGATTATATACCATTGTATTAGGGACCCATCCCCTCCAGAGTCCCACTTGAAGAATGTTTTGTGGGGTCTGGAGAGATAGCACAGAGGTTAAGAACACTGGCTGTTACTGCAGAGGACCCGAATTCTGTTTGCAGCACCCTCGTGGAGGACAACCACCATCGGTGAATCCAGTTCCAGGGGATACGACACCCTCTTCTGACTTCTATAGGCACACCCAACATAGGTCCACTTACGTGTAGGCAATACATTCATACACATAAAATAAAAATAATAGATTTTTTTTGAAAAAAAGAACATTTTGTGGTGGTTGATTATTGACTAACTGAAAAGATGGTGGGAGGTGGTGTGAACGATGTCCGTAGGGTTTCAGTTTCTAGCTGTTAGGTGACTGGGCAGATGAATAATTGGGCTTCCTTCTTGGTTTTAATTTCCATTTGTGCAGGATGTGTACCAGAAAAGCTCTCAAAGATTAATTTTGATGAGAAATTGTGTGTGTGTGTGTGTGCCACTTTTAAAAAAAATCTTTCTTTTTCCAGGTTATCCTACCTACAAAGAAAAAGTAAAGAAGAGGCCAGGGGGTCGCCCGGAAGTCATTTACAACTATGTACAAAGACCTTTTATTCGAATGTCCTGGGAGAAGGAGGAAGGAAAGAGTCGGCATGTAGACTTCCAGTGTGTGAAGAGTAAATCTATCACCAACCTGGCAGCAGCTGCTGCAGACATTCCCCAGGACCAGCTGGTAGTCATGCACCCAACTCCACAAGTGGATGAGCTGGACATCCTCCCCAACCACCCCCCTTCGGGCAGCAATGACCTTGATCCTGACGCTCAGAATCCGATGCTGTGATGCTGATGTCCCATGAAACCATAGCATGCTACTCTTCACAGTGACGTTGTACTCATTCTGCACTGCAAGGCCACTTTTCTTCATTGTGAGATGCACATGTTTAGGATACTGCAGTGTAGGCTTTTTTAAAGACCAAAGGCAGCTGAATGGTTTTTTAATGAGTACAACTTTAGCATCCTGGTTCCAGTTATATAAATGTATTTGTTTACCAGTAGGTTTGTGAAATTGGTTCTTTGTATGGGGGACAGCCCTTTTTCACATATCTAGGCCTTTTCAGAAGTGGTGGAAATTGGCAGCTGGGGTACTTTCAATGTAGATTGATAGTACATCATCATGCCCCAGATAAAATGCAGAATATTATATAGTTGCACTTTATAAACGGCAGTTAAATGGAACTGTTCAAGCCATTTTAGAGTTGTGATGTACAATATAACTTAAGTGCTTCTATCAGAGTATTCCTTGAGTAAAATATGTATATTTTGCCCATGATGAACAAATAGTATTTATCTTGGGTTTATTTGAACAGTTAGTATGAGATTTGATGTTCCTAATGTCTTGGTTCGCTTATCTCCAGAGCTGTTTCACCCTTTCAGAGTGAGTCACATGCAGGGAGTGTGAACATCAGAGGTGGTTTATTTGTCCAGTCTGCCTTACCCTTAATCTGTTCACAGATATTTATTTACTAATGCTTTTTATTTCTTAAAGAGTTATGGAATAGAAAATGAACTGTTTGCCCTTCATTTACTAAATGATTGTAAACTCCAGTTTTTCATCAAAATAAAATTCCATTGTTTTAACATTTCTGACCAACTTTATAACCATCTTGACTAGGGTTTTATTCTCATAATTAGTAGATTCTATGCTGTGTTCACATAACTAGAAAGTGTGGCCCAAGAAGTCCTTAATTTAGTATATTTGAGATGAGGCACTTAAGTTTCAGAGCTAGTTTGATACTAGTTCAATACTTTTTCCATTAGTTTTTGCTACTCTGTGTAGTGAATTATTTATGCAAATACTATTCTAAATATTTGATGGTCTACAACAGAGAATCATAAATATTTAAATGTTTTGGGTCTGAGGTTACCTAAATGTTTGTAGCCATGTATCTGTAAGTAGTATAGGGGGATGGGGTGGAGAAGCCAGTTTGTAATCCTAAATTGTAGGTTCAGCGGATTTGAAATTGTCTAAGTAGTAGCATCTTTGCTCTCATATAATTGAAATAACTACAATTTGGGAATTAACTTTTTTTTTCAATACACCAAAGTATGGAAGAAACTATTATTATGAGATTAAAAAAAAAAGTATTGTAAAAATAATAGCATGGCTCATGCTTTAACACCCAGCAATTGAAATGGATGAGCTGGCTTTGTAGCATGTAGGGATTTTTGCCCCCTAATTATTTGAAATGGGAACAGTACTTATAGAACAAGGGAAACATTTATTAAAAATATTTAACTGTCTAATACATTATACTTTAACCCATATTTATAGTAAAGGATTCTTACAAGGAAGAATAAACGGCTTTATGATACAATTAGTATAAGAAATATCCACATGGGGGACTTCTTTGTAGTGTAAAAACACCATACATCTGAAATGACCATTTTGCATATAAAAGCTACCAATGATGCTTCTGTGCACAATGATTAAAAAATTAAACATAAACAGAATCCAAAATATACAATTAATGCAAGCTATCCACAGCTAGCCCAAAATCAATGATGAAGACACTGAAGCAGGCTTAGTTCCATTTTGTCTGAAGTTACACATGGTAGATTGACTTGTATCAATGGCTCTGAGATGGCTTTTATGAAGTCAGTGCATAAAAGCTGTTCTCTCCCTATCCAGTAAGCTTCACAGGCTGTAAAACTTCACCAGTAATGCACTTTGATACTGCAGCTGTTGCCAAAGCAACATGTAGTGTCTACAGCGGCCATGGCAAGTCGCTAAAGTCAACAGGACCACCCAGCCCAGCATCAGCTTCCAGGAGGCTCATGATGACAGCCATCGCTGCTTCATCGTTACTGGGACTACTTGATCCTTGATCATTGTCTATCATATCGATGCTTATGTGGGGGTTCTCACCTGTGGGAGGAAATAAGGCTGATCAGGAATAAAAATTACAAGAGCACACTTATTTGGAAAGCAGTTTCTAAGCACACTCATATTTAACAAGAGTGAGCAAGCTTGTTTGGGGGCTCTCATGCCATAATTCTGATGGTTTTCAGAAAGAACAAAAACACTTAAGAGCAAAGTGCTTACATCAGTAAATGATAGAAATGTTTAAGTTGAGCTCAGTTTGGTGTTCTGATAACCATTTAGGAGCGGGTCATAGAAACAATGGTGACAGGCAAGAAGGCAGGAAAAAAGATTGAGGAAAAAAATGGGTGGGTTGGGAGGCGCAAACTCATGTTCAATGGCTTCAATGCCCTCCAACTCTGAGGACTCTTGCAGGCCTTGTCTCTGAAGCTGCATCTGCTCTCTCTCAGATGACTGTGTCCCACATGGGAGAAAAACCTATGTCTAGGTTGCTGCAGATGTGCTTAGATCCCTACCAAAATGCAACCATTAAAAAAAAAATCACGAAGTATATGAACAGATTTCAAACATCTCCATTTCAGAACTAGCTTGTTTCATGGACTCATTTCTCAAACCCCTCTTTATGCCACACTCTTTGCAAGCTCACTGTCACGCATGTGGAGGTGAGTAACAACAGCACTTACCAAGGATAGAAGAGCTGTCAGAATATGGATAGCCTGGGTTCTCCTGTGCCTGCCCTGGTAGTAGGCCACTGGAAGGAATGTCAGGAGTCCCTCCATTGAGAATCTGCAAATAAAAGGGAAAAGGTAGTTTCTACTCTTAAATGGAAATTTCAGTTAGTATCTCATATGCAGTGTTACTAGACAGAGAAGCACCCTGGGAAGAAGGTGTGGTAGGGGCAATTTCCTATTGAACGTTTCTAATAAGGAAAACAGTCATCTAAGGGAGCTTCTCTAAACCATTCTTTTGTCTACATTCGATTCAGCATATGCAGTAACACAAAAGCTGTGTAAATCCCCATCAGAATTCATAGGATCATGGTATCCACATACTTAAGGCCAAGGCTAAGCATCAGTGAGTTCAGGTTCTTCTGTAAAGAAGAAAAGCTTGTGCAAGAACAACCAGTGTTCTTAACCGCTGAGCGTCTCCCAGCACCCACATGGCAGCAAACAACTGTCTGTAACTCCAGTCCCAGGAGATCCAACAGCCTCTTCTGACCCCTGTGGGCATTGCATGACACGAGTGCACTTACCTATGCAGGTAATACATGCATACACATAAAATAAAAAAAATTTTTTAAAAATTGGGATACCCAAGGAGACTTGAGAAGAAAATTATTTAAAAAAAAAAAACAACTTGGGAACGGTATTGCTAAAGAAGAAATAATTGAGGTCAGTAACAATTTGTGAAGAGAAATAACTCAGTCACAGTGAACAGAACACTAAACCTTAAAGTTGGGGTACTGCAGGTGCCAACTTCAGTAGCCTCTGGTTTCTGTTCCTAAGACACAGATAACTGCTGAGCTGGCGTGGTGGCACACACCTTTAATCCCAGCACTCTGAGGCAGAGACGGGATCTCTGTGAGTTGAAGGCCAGCCTGGTCTACATAGTTCCAGGCCAGCTGGGGCTACAGGGAGACCCTGTCTCAAAAAAAAAAAAAAAAAAAAAAAAAGAAAAGAAAAAAAAATATAGGTCTATGAGTTTGAGACTAGCCTGCTCTACATAGAGAGCTCCAGGCCAGCCAGGGCTACCTGGAGACCTGGAGGTAGTGAGACCACGTAAAAAAAAAAAAAAAAAAAAAGAAAAGAAAAGAAAAAAAGATATAGGTAACTGCTACTACTCATAATGGAGCTCCAATTCTGTCTCAAAACTCTGTGCACCCCAGCCCCCTACCTGTTCTCATAGAATACACTTTGAGAAGAAAAGACAGTTCAGCAGCTTCTGGGTTTCAGGAGCCGCAGTGATTTCTGATCTTGCCAGTAGATGGCATTATAACTACCTCACAGTTCAACTTCTCAGTGTAGGGACCCCTCCTTTACATTCTTAAAAATTGAGGCCTCTAAAAAACTTTTGTGTTAGATAGGCTATATTTCTGTAAATACATTTACTATATTTGAAGTTAAAGCACAGATTGTTGAAATTCTAAACCCATTATGCATTAACATGAATAATAAAATTTTAATGAAAAAATCACATTACCGAAACAACAAAAAAGCATAAATGTGTCGTCGTTTTCTATCTTTGCAAATGTACTGCCTGGCTTGAGAGATTTCAATTGGATTCTCATACCGGGTCCATTCAGTCTGTTTAAACAGGTTAGTTGACTGAAGTATATGAAGGAAATCCAAACTCCCCACAGAAGTTGTAAGAAGAAATAGTTTAATAGCATTTTCAAATAATTTTGATATTCTGTTAGTACATCAGCACTTGGCAAATAACTGTTTCTTTTTTACTTTTATTACTTTTATTTTATATGAATGAGTGCTTGGCTTCCATGTATGTAAATGCACCATGAGAGATATGCCTACAGAGGCCAGAAGAGGGCATTGGATCCCCTGGAACTGGAGTTATGAGACGATTGTTAGCTGCCATGTGAGTGCTGGGATTCGAACCTGGGTCCTCTGCAAGAGCAGCCAGTGCCCTAACTGCTGCATTACAGTGTGAAGCTATGTTAATTCGTGTCCCCTGTTACATTAAAAGCCATGGGTGTCTCATTGGCATTTAGAATGGACCTCCCTTGGATGACTTTGAAATATCTTGTATTGATCACTTATAGAATATTGGTTCATTGAGTTATACAGATCTTCCAAATCAACATCAAGTCATCACCACTGTTTAATGCCATCTTACAAGTTTTGGAAAGATACTGAGCTCAAAGTAGAAGGTACAAGTTTTCTCAAAATTCCAATCTTGATTGAAAGCCTAGATTTTATCATGGCAACAAATCCTGCCCCTTGTTTTCCTTGAATGACAGATATGTGCTCACCACAGTTAAGACTTGAAATAGCACCCTGTGAAACTAGCAGTTAGCTCTTGCTGCTTTTTCTTGAGACAGTTACCAGACTAGGTATGCAGTACAGCACCATTACAGTAATGGTTTCTAATGCTTCATTAACAACACTGTTCAACTGGCTCTGAAATTTTTATTGTGAGTGTGCTGGTAAGAACATAGTGACTTCTAACAGTTTGTTGCCACGTGAGTCTTATGTGTGTGCATCATAACAGTGAAAAGGGGTAACTTGTTAGCACTATTATGAAATAGCTTTGACCCTGCAAGCCCTTGAAAGGGAGACTCCCAAAAGGTGACATTTGTGGAACCACTGCTTTATCTGAATTTGCCTAATTAGTGCCCCTGAAGGTCCTTACTTCTTGGGATCTGTGGAGGCTCACCAAGTCTACCCTTTTTAGCTTGATCCTGAATGAAACAATTTCAGGCTAAATGACAAAATTTTGAAAGTGACTGAAGGGCCGTTTTTGCTCTGTGGTCTGCTGAGGCATTTAATATGCTGGTATTTTAAACTTAATCTTGTTTAGACTGTTTTTCTTACGAGTCCTGTTGCCACAGACTTAGAGAAAAGATTCAATTTTTGTTGTCCCAGACACATTTTTGCAAGCCCAAAGAAAAGGAAAAAAATTCATAAGTGCCTCAATATTTAGGGCTTTATGGTACAGGGCACAGTTTTGAATTACAGGCAGTTAATGTTCACCAGAAGACCTCAATTATGAAATTCCAAGGAGCTTCGATTTTAGTAGCTAGGAGGCAAACATGACAGGCTAGATAGGAATTAAGCACATAATAGAGTGATGACCACTGACATCTGAGTATTAGAGTCATTTGTTTTTGATTTTAGAGCTTTTTCTTTTTAAAAAGATAATTTATTGAGAATTTCATATAGGCATATAAGCATATAAGGTGTTTTGATCAAATCCATGCCCACTCCCTCCCCTCCAACTCCTCCCATATCTCCCCATCACTTTTTTCTGATAACTTCATGTACTTTTTTTCTTTTCAATGGGGCTTTTGGCTACTCTAACAATCCCCCCTCTGAAGAGGTAACCCTAAAATCTTTTAAGGATTAGATAAAAGCTCCCAAATATTTTTGACATTTTTGGCCTTTGGAACGGAGTATGTTGCTAAGAGGCCCAAGGACATTTTGACTTTTAGCCAAGAAACTGACTACTTTTCTTTGGGGTCTTTTTACCCTAACTGCCTAGCCAGCTCCTACCTCCTATTCTTATCACACCATCCTCTGAAGAGGTTACCAAGCTTGAGGACTGCTCTGGCTTCTTGCTGAACAAGGATGCAGGGTGAGGCAATTGGGGTACCCCTTCAGTGAGTCAGATATCTAAAAGACTCCCAAATTGCATAACTCTTATCACCACGTGGAGGCAGGATCTGGGCGTTCTCAGCCCTTATGCCAGAGGGAGGCAGGAACAGACACTCTCTGGCAGTCTCGAGTATTAGATTTCTTTGTCATACTGAGAAGTCAACTGCCTGAAGTTGAAAAGGAGAGTCAGGAAGGACTCAGATATAATTTAGCACAATAGAGCTGAGCATAAGCAGACAAGCCAGACTCCATCTACTGAAGACATACTAGTCATTCCCAAGGATCACCACTTCCACATATACTCTCCTGGTAGAACTTCATGTACAAAGAACGGCTTTCCTAACCAATATTAACCCCATTATAGAGAAAACAAAGTCTTAAAAGATGTGTATGGTACATAATTAGTGCATGGCAAAGCCAAGCTTCAAACTCGGGTCTACCTTACTGTGACTGCTCTTGCCCACTAATTTGCTGGCTTTTAAATATTCTGAGGAAGCTGGGCGTGGTGGCTCATGCCTTTAATCCCAGCACTTGGGAGGCAGAGGCAGGTGGATCTTTGTGAGTTCAAGGCCAGCCTGGTCTACATAGTGAGTTCCAGGACAGCTGGGGCTACAGGGAGACCCTGTCTCAAAAAGACAAAAAAAAAAAAATCTGAGGAGTGCAAAACCCTTTATCAAATGGAAACTTTTAAAATTTTTATTATTTTTATGTGTATGTGTGTTGCCTGCATGTAGGTAAGTGTACCCTTCAGTGTGTGTATGTGTGTATTGCCTTCATGTATGTGTCATGCAATGCCCGCAGAGGACAGAAGAGGCTGTGGGATCCCCTGGAACTGGAGTTACAGACAGCTGTTAGCTGCCATGTGGGTGCTGGGGTTCAAACCTCGGTCTTCTGCAAGAACAGTTAGTATTCTTAACCGCTGAGCCATCTCTCCAGCCCCTTAAATGGAAACTTAAAATTTTATTTATATTTATTTGTCTTTTTTTTTTTTTTTTTGAGGTAGGGTCTCCCTGTAGCCCCAGCTGTCCTGGAACTCACTATGTAGACCAGGCTGGCCTTGAACTCATAGAGATCCGTCTGCCTCTGCCTCCCAAGTGCTGGGATTAAAGGTGTGCACCACCACGCCCAGCTTTCTTTCTTTCTCTTATTTGTGTGTGTGTGTGTGTGTGTGTGTGTGTGTGTGTGTGTAAAATGTGCATATATGTAAGTGCACCCATGTGTGCCCTTGGAAGTAGGAAAGGGGTGTCACATCCTCTGGAACTGTAGCTACGGACAGTTGTTAGCTGCCATGTAGGTGCTGGGAACTGAACTCGGATCCTCTGAAGATCAGCCAGTGCACTTAACCACTGAGCCATCTCTCCAGCCCCCTTAAATGGAAACTTGTACTGAAGATTCTGGTATTAAGTAGATGCAGAGCTCTCCTTCCCACTCTCTCATCAGCCACTCCCATGTACATCCCTTCTGGCAGCACCACATCTTGATAACCTGGGTCTCTGAGGAGCCCAGTTTTGAAAAATCATGACTTGCTTTTTTTGTTGTTGTTGCTTTGAGACAGGTTCTCCCTGTAGTCTGAGCTGTCCTGGAAGCCACTATGTAGACCAGGTTGGCTTCAGGCTCACAGAGATCCACCTGCCTCTGTCTCCAGAGTCCTGGGATTAAAGGCCAGCACTGCCATGCCTGGCATCCTGTCTTTTGATATTTACTAGGAGTCCCACTTGGATTAATTCCTGGTATTCTCTCTCTCTCTATTTGTTTTGGGAATGGGGAAGGAAGATTTCATGTACAAAGACATCGGCCCGTGCTGTCCTAATCTCTGGTCCTGTGAACAGATTTATGACTTACAATTAGGAAAAGATGAAAAGAGGCTTTCCAAACCTTTTTATAGTGTCATCTTTTAGACAGCTCTTCATAAGGGCTGGTGACTGATAAAGCACTTATGCCCAGTGCTGTCACAACACAGGAAACCCAAGCAACAGAGCTCCAGGTGTTCAGCTGTAAAGCCTGACTCAACTTCCAAAATGTGGCTATTGCTATTTCCATGAATATCTGCTCCCCTGAAACTCTTCAGTGAGATACTTTCCTGTGTGAGGTCCTTACTAATCCTTCTCTGATGGAAACTCGAATTGCCCCTCCATGAAACGGGCTGACAGCTCCCCTTTCCTCACAGTGTTCTTTCTGCCATCTGTATTCACATGGAATAAGACCTCTTGAGTCAGGAGACCCCCAACTCCACCAGGATGTGCTGCAGCCAGCCTCTCACGGATGCACGTACTTCAAGGAGGGAGAGTCTAACTTGTTCCTGAAACCACTGTAGCTCTGTATTCAATCCTCTAGCAGAGGCTCTTCTAGCTGACGTCATCAGCCTTACCTTCTTGCCTCCCGGAGAAGAGGCGTCAGGGGGAGGCGTACTTGTGATGTTCAGTGGGCTGGAACCACAGCTGGAAGGTGATGACCCTCTTATCCTGTCAGAGAAGAGACGAGCTAGTCACACCACTGCCTTTTCTCTTTTCAGGGGGTGAGGGGTGGGGGTGGGTGTTAAGGAGTGATGACAGGAGGATAAGGAGCTGGACTTAGCCAACTCTTAGGCTCTGTAGGCCATATGGTCTGTCATAGTACCCCACAGGCAATGCAAAAGTGAATGAGAATAGCTGTGTTCCAATAAATCTTTATTCACAAAACCCAGGTCAGAAGCTAGATTTGTTCCAAAGGCATTTGATCTAGAACAGACTGAAGTCAAGAACTGTCAAAACCCTTGGATTACGGTTTGGATTTAGGTGGTTCATTTTAAGTGGCCAGCTTTATGTCCTTATAGAATGCTGGTGAATTGGAGCACTTAGTTTAGCCAACCATCTTTGACACCATGAGCAAAAGCTGCATCATCTTCCCACAAACGATGAGCTAATGAATGCCCTTGGGAAATGGAAGGCCCCAGTGTATTAGCCACACCTAAAAAGTAACTTAATGGTGGCAGCCTTTTAATGCAGCAAGGGATGAAAATCGGACCTGGACCTTTCTCAGATTCAGTGGAGGAGGTTTGTAGGAGCGAGTTGGAACTATAACTCCATACGCTAGTCAGGCTGGGGGTCTCAGGGAGGGAAGCTACGGCTGGTGCTGGAGCTGGTACGCTTGGAGTTGTGCTTCTACTAACTGCCATGTACTTTGGGGAGATGGGAAGGATGAGTTCATGTCCAAACTGGAGCTAGAGTTTGGGGAGTGTGGAGGCAGCTCTGTCACCGTCAGTCTCAGCTCCTCCACAAAGCATGCAGCTTTTGAGCCACACAGGGACTATTCCACTGCCCATGAAGTGGCTCTGGCCTGTAATGCCCACTGTTCTGTTTCTGTGAGGAGTCAAGTTCTCTCTCTCCTGGACTAAAAGCACCTCAAAGCCGGGGTATGACTATGTATCATGTACTGCAGCATACACAGACGGCTAACTCATTTCTGAAGAACTGAGTTTCCCCCAACTTTGTCTACTTGAGATGTAGAACGATGAAGCCACTCTTCTCCCAGGTCCTCCATTCGCATCATCAGTATCTAGTCTTTAGACTGCTGGTTTCACTGACAGCATCAATGAAGGTCAAGCCTCATTCCTGGCTTATGAAGCATGCCCACCTTCACCGTCCCTATTCCTGTGAGCTTCCACCATGTCTAACGCAGCACTTCAGACATCTGCTCAGCATCTACAATGAATGGGGTCTTGAAAATGTCTTACAATCCCAAACTGCTCAAGATTATCTTTAGGAGTCTGCAACCTCTCTTCAGAGCTCTGTGCTTCTGTACCAAGTCTGGCCCGTTAGATCGCCCGCTTCTTAACAGTGCTCACGTTTCCATCTAGAGTGCTCCTGGTTGTCTAGAGGGACTAGCCACGTTTATTGTGAACACTGGCCAGGGCCAAGTTCAAACCCTTCTTCCCTTGCTTTCCTCAGCCCATGCATTCCCCACTTGGCTATTATCATAAAACAGACTTCTAAAAGATTTTAAGATCCCCCAGGTGCTGGGTGTGGTGGCACATGTCTTTAGTCCCACATTGGGGAAGCAGAAGCAGGTGGATCTCTGTGAGACCGAGGCCAGCCTGGTTTACATAGTGAGTTCCAGGCCAGCTGGGACTCTCTTTCCAAAAAGAAAGAAAGAAAAAAAGGTCCTTCAGGTCAAAGACTGATAATATTTTTAGATGGTCTTGCATAGAGCTCAGAGTACGTAGTGACTGCTCTGAGGCTGACTGTACTGTGTTCTATCTCCTCGTCTCCACCCAGAGGTAAGCAGTAAACCACTATGTGAGGTTGGCACTCTGTGGGGTTGGACTAGAGCTTTGCCACTCATGAGGATAAGAGCCCCTCTATGTCCAACCAGAGAACAGACAGACTGGCCTCCAATTCTGAGACTTAGTCAAGGGCAGCAGAAAATACTAGTCTTTCTGTTTTTTCCTTTTCCTAGAATCATGTTCCTTTAAGTACCTGGTTACAACCTTCTTGATTCTCCAAATTCAGACAGACTTATAATAACTGCTTCCCTCTCAGTGACTACGTTTAAAGACCAGCTAAACGCAGTTTTAGAACAGTCATTAGATGTTTCTGTCTGTGTTCCAAGACTTCCCTGAGTTCCTTCATAATCCTAATACAGCTGTTAGGAAATAGATACCACCTCCCTTCTGTGGCCCAAGTCAACACAGCAAAAGATTAGATGAATCTGCTCAGCACAGCCAAGCGGAGGCATGCCCAGGACATCCCAGGCAGGCTGCTTCCCAGTTCTTTCACATGGAAAGAGTGTCTTCAGGCAGAGGAAAGCTGCCTCAATTTCTAGCTCATCTGCTGGCCTCTGTTACCAATTATCCAGGTAGCTTGAACAAGTGTTCTGTTAAGGCCCAGATCACTCTGGCTGTTCACAGCTCTACTTCAGTCCTGTAATGTTCCTGGATATTCATCTTTACTAGGAAGTTCCTTGGGATCCTAAGTGTCAGGAACTGAGCTTCCCCAAGAGTCTCCTTTAGCTCTGGCCTGTTTTGATCTAGCTTCTAAATTTAAGGCAAGATTGCTAAATCTTGGCACTACTGATATTTTGGACTGGGCTAGAGGTGACAGAACAGTCCAATGTAGTGTAGGATGCTTAGCAAGCAGCATCTCTGGTCTCCATTCCCTGCTTGGTTAGCAATAACCTTCTACCCAATTGTGATGACCCAAAGTATCTGCACACATTATGAAACACTCCCTGGGAGGGTGCAGTGTGGAGGGGCTGAGAACCTCTGGGGCAGGGGAGCAACCAGAAGGTATTACTTGCCTGTGGATTTCCATGATTTCCTCTGCAATCATTCGACCTATTTTTCCTGCCCCGGCCCTGGTTCCCCCCGGAATCCCTGGAACAGTGGGATGGGTCTTCTTTGGGCCGCCTACAACAAAAGAATCAGAGTAGGAAAGGGAACAGCCGAGCAAGAAATGCTACCATGTGTTAAATGAAAGTCACATGGTCCATTCGAAGTTCAGCATCAGGTTTATACCTTATCAGGAAGGAGTTCTACCGGGGGAAGGCTCAAGCTTCTTTTCAGCATCAGAGGCCAAAATTTTGACATAAAACTGTTAATTCCCTTCATGCGCCCCAAGAATGTTTAATGGAATACCACTTGCTATGTAAAATAGTGGTCCTGCCCTCAAGGAGCTCACAGTCTAATGGGGCTACAGCAAAGTGTGATAAGCTTGGCAGATAAGCATGGGACACCCAACTCGTCCAACACAGGTACAGCTTTTTGGAGCAGAGAAACAGCTGAATCTTGAAAGATGAGTATAAATTAGATTGTTAGAGGGGTACAGACAGGAAAGCACTCCAGGTATAGAAACCAGCATGCAAGAGCACTGGGGCAGACAGAACTCGGACATCTACTGTGGTTCATGGAGGGGACAAAGGCAGGCGCGAGGGAACTGAGGCAACTTATACCAGTCAGACTATGCTGTACTGATGAATTCAGACAGTATGGATGAGGAGTGCCAAAGGACTTTGCACGGAAACTGCACCGGATGTGACAGGGGTTATTAAAAGTCCACAACACAGAGAATGAACTACAGTTTTATGTCACTTAACAACAGGGGTACAACCTGAGAAATGTGTCATTAGGTGAGTTTGTCATTGTAAAGCTCAAACTTAGTAATAGACAACAGCTCATCTAGGCTATAGGGTATGTGGCCTACTGCTCCTGGGCTACACAGCATGTTACTGTGCTGATTGCTACAGGCAATCAACACAAGAGCATTTGTGGATCTAACACACCCAAACAAATTTGAGGCTAATGTGTTGCCCTGAACATTACAACAATTATGACGCCACTAAAACTATTTTCATCACGTTATCTGATGCTAACCAGAATTTTGAGGTGCTGTGTGTTACTGTTTAGTGGAGTATGAGGTGGAGAGGCTGGGATTAAATTTAAGAAATTGATCAGGAGAGTGACATGGTCCTGAGGTGAAGGAGGGGTTTAAGAAACAGAACAGAACTTCGCATTTAGATTGCACAGAGGAAGGGGAGAAATTCTGGCTTCAACAGCAGATGAAAGAACACAGAGAATCAGTTTGGGATGTTCTTAGCAGCAGGTGCCTCTGTGGTTCTGTTTAGGAAAAAGAACTGGAGCTGGAGCGAAGCCAGGAGGCACGGGGGTCATTACGAAGGTGCACACTGAAGCACGGAAGCAGAAGCGGTCCAGGAGGGACAAGTCTAGTGTTCAGAGGAGGAGCTGATGCTGAGCCTCAGGGGAGGAGCCCACTGGATATAGGGCATTCCCCAGGGCCAACAGACACATTCCTCCCACCCACAGGAGCCAGTGAGTTACCAAAGAGCACATCACAGGCCCTGGGCAATGGGAGGAGGACAGCACAGAGAATCAGAGTTTGATCCTGCAGGGTCCAGACAGCCTCAGGAGGGACCACACAAGCCCCCAGGATTCCAGTGAGATGACAGCATCCTCTGCACCCACAGGGGAAATCACATCACTTCCAGATCTGTGTCACAGAACATGACCACAGGGGACCCTGGACACTTGCAAGTAGAGCAACTGGCCACCAGCAGCTTCTCCCAGGTGAACTCCAATGCCCCAGCAGGACATAGTTACCTTCTCCAGAGGGCAGCATGCTGTCCATGCTGTGGGGAGATGCTGTGAGCTGTGGGAAGGTTGGGTCCCCGCCTTCCAGGACGTTGGCTCTGTGAACATCCCAGCAATAAGGAAATATGAGTCAGGCCTGCTCAGAACTGTGTACCTTTCACCTTGGCCAAGGTGTCCAGTATCCACTTAGGACCTGGACAGGCCAAAAAATGAAGTGTCTGTCTGAGTGGCTGATCAGATCTCCTCGCTGTTCCGTAACATGATGGGCAGTATCCCAGCCTTTGGCCTCACTGCCTGCCTGGACCTTCCTAATGTCTGTGGGACAGAGTTCAGCAGAAGTAGCTTGGGTACCCCTCTCCCAGGCTGCAGCACTTTCCTGCCTTGCCATACACCCAGGCCCTGGCCATCGCTCACTTCTAACCACAGGTAGGAAAATGCCATGGGGAAGGAGGTGTGGGGGAGAATCTTGTAAAAGAGAAGTCTCCTTCCCCGTCCTCTGCTCACTCAGCAGGTGGCGGCAGCCTTTGAGGGAGTACTCCATCTGCCATGGCTTAGGCCGCCAGCCTGGTAGGCAAGGAGGCCTGCCCATCCTCAGCTAAGGCCAGAAGGAGCTGGTGCCCAGATAAGCCTTTCACGAATAGTCAACCCCTCCCTCCATGGTGGCACAAGTGAATGCCCAGCATGCAGGGCCTGTGGAATTCAAGGTTGGTTGTTTTATCTGGAAGGAAAACGGTTGTTTCCTGAACCAAGTCCACCAGGCAGAACTACACAGGAGGAACACTGATGCTTGTCCTTGATTAGCAATCCTTTCTGGCTCCCTCCCAACCTGAAGCTTCATAAGACACTAGCAAGGTGGCATTAAAGGGTGGGTAGTGGCTGTGGCCTGTACCCTCTGTCCCAGGAAAGGATCCCCAGGCATCTATCTCCCTTTAGAGTAAGAGAGTCTTACAGAAGATACTTACAGAACAACGGTGTTGGTTGAGACAATGTATTCTACTTCCTTGGTCCACGGGTTCATGAAACTGAACCATCGACTTCTTAGTGTGATGAAAGAACCATCTTTGATCTTAAACTTATAGCAGTTAGTTGTAATCTTTTCTCTGGTCTGTAAAACTGGAAGGGCAAAGAAACCATGATTGTTGTCATCTCCTCAAACCAGCATAGTAAACAGCAGCTCCTAAAGGCACTCAGCTTCCATGAAGTCGCTCTTTAGAAAGCCAGAGAAGCTCAGTCAATGTGCACAGACAGGCGGTTTATGAGGGTCTACCTCAGAGTCTTTTGGACATGAAGTCTCTGGGAACACCGGAATCACTGGTCATGAACACCAGACATGATCCTTCCCCATCACAAAGCCTAAGGACAATACATTCCTTGTCTCCTGTTTAGTTAGTAAAGGCCACTAGCCAAATAGAGGCCAGATTGCATCCTTTGAGAAACAGATACCATGAGCACTTTTCCTTCTCCAGGCATTAGAGACAAAGGAGGTGAGATATAACTTCTGCTCTCCATAGGGAGTGACCAGGGATACTGGAGGAGTCAAGAACTCAGCCTCTTGAGGGATGAACACACTGGCAGAGTGGAAGAAGGGAGAGCCCTGCAATGACCAAGGAGCGACAGGGCCTAGGCAGGTAGACCCAGGGAGAGGTCAGAGTAGCTGGAGCACATCTTGGTAGGCAGGGCTCAGGAGTGAAACTGAGGAACTGGTCAGGACCAGCAGGTGGAAGTCTCAGATCCAGTGCCTGTCAAAGGTGAGTCTTAAAATTGGAGCATTTGAAGCAGGGACATGACGTTATCAGCCTTGATCTATAGGACAATGAATGAGGAAGATGGATGGGAGGAGAGGGAGCAGGAGGCCCACAGCACAAGTGTTTGAATCAGGGTCATGGCAGTTGGTGGTAAAAAGGGATCTCCAGAAATGAATGGCTGAGTCAACCGAACAAGTTCTGATAAAGATGCAGTGAAGGAAGGGGCTGCGTACGTGGCCACACCGTCTCAGATTGTACTGTCAGCTTGAATTGTCAACTTGACATAACCTAGAATCACCTGGGAAGAGAGTCTCAATGAGGGACTGTCTACATTGGTTGGACCTGTGGACATGTCTGAAGAGTATTGTCTTAATTAAGAAAATGGATGTGAAAAGACCCAGCCCACTGTGGGTGGCCCCATTCCCTAGGCAGGGGGTCCCGAACTGTGTAAAAGGGGAGAATTGGATCTGAACACAGGCAGGCAAGTGGGCATGCATGCACTCATTCTCTGCTCCTGTCTGTCAATGTGATGTGACCAGCTATCTCAAGTTCCTGCTTCTGTGATGTTCTGCAGTGATGGACTGCCCCCTGTGACTTCCTGCAGGAATGGAATGCCCCTGTGACTTCCTGCAGTGATGGAATGCCCACTATGACTTCCTGTAGTGATGGACTGCCCACTGTGACTTCTGTAGTGATGGCTGTCCACTGTGACTTTCTGTAGTGATGGAATGTCCACTGTGACTTCCTGCAGTGATGGCCTGTCCACTGTGACGTCCTGCAGTGATGGACTGTCCACTGCGACTTCCTACAGGGGTGGATTGCCCACTGCGACTTCCTGTAGTGATGGACTGTCCACTGCGACTTCCTGCAGTGATGGACTGTCCACTGCAACTTCCTGCAGTGATGGACTGTCCACTGCGACGTCCTACAGTGACGGACTGTCCACCGTGACTTCCTGCAGTGATGGACTATCCACCGTGATTTCCTGTAGTGATGGACTGTCCACTGTGATGTCCCTGCAGTGATGGACTGTCCACTGCGACACTGAGACGTCCTGCAGTGATGGACTGCCCACTGTGACGTCCTGCAGTGATGGACTGCCATTGTGACTTCCTGCAGTGACGGACTGTCCACCGTGACTTCCTGCAGTGACGGACTGTCCACCGTGACTTCCTGCAGTGAAAGACTATCCACCGTGACTTCCTGCAGTGATGGACTGTCCACTGTGACATCCTGCAGTGATCAACTGCCACCTGGAACTGTGAGCTAAAAGACACCCTTTCTCCCCAAAGTTTCTTTTTGTCAGAAATGAAAGGAGAACACTGTGAGTCTAGGAAAGTACAGGAGGCAGTGCAGGCTGGTGTGGAAAAGAAATCAGATCAGTCTAGGCTGTACAAAATCTTCACAGGCTCAGGGTAAACCCAAGCCAAGAGATGCCTTCTACAAACAGCCAGGGCCTCTGTAAAGAAAACTGCTGTGCAGTGTGCATAAGGGCTGGGCATCTATAGGCGACATATGATGCCTGGGCTATCAGTCTTCCATGTGTTTCAGCCTGAAGAGGCCTAGGCTGGCTGAGTCCACTACAGAGGGGGAAGAGATCAAGTGGCCAGTGCAGACGCAGGAAACACTGAAGTTCAGAGTTTTCCTACAGTCCTCTTACCTTGCCTGTGGCACTCTGCAAGATGTCCTATGTCATCTTGATGAAAATACTCGTAACACGACGTACCTAGAAGTTCCTGCGGCAAATACGCCAAAATAGCTGTTGCCCTAAAAGAAATTAAAGACTTTTTAAATTTTAAAAAAGCCATAAGTCCAAATAGCAAATTGTTAATGAACCCCAATACAGCCTATGAGAGCAAGGTTAAAGCTAGAGGCAGAAAAGATGGGTGGGTTTTCAGTGCCTACCCGCCTCCGCAATGCCCAGACACCTGCATTTAACCAGGATTATAAAAACAGGGAAAGAAAGCAAAGCAGCCTTTCGGGGCTCTTACCATCAGAAATCAAATTTTAAGAGGTTTAAATTTTTAATTCATTTATTGTGCACGTGGGTGGGTGGGAGTGCCTGTGAAGGACACAGGACAACTTGCAGGAGTCTGTGCTCTCCTTCCACTGTGTGATTCCAGGGATCAGACTCAGATCATCAGGCTTGGCAGCTTACCCACTGAAACATTTTGCCAGCCCACATATTACAAGGTTTTTAACCAACAACCATATTACTCAGGTAAAAATATGATAGAAATCTAAATTCCAAGGCAGAGGGTCCCCTTGGCGCTGCAGGCTTCTATCACACTAGCCAAAGCCCAGAAGCTCTGGCAGCTGGGGTCACAAAGGCCTTGACAAGTAGCTAGTTCCTTTTCTATCATCTGGTAGCTAGTTACTAAAGACTGGTGAATAATCCCAGGAGGGCAGCAAGAAATGATGAATCTGGGACATCTGAGTTCTCAGACCAGGTCTACCACCAGTTAGCTACGATTCCAGTAGTAGCTGAGCCACAGGCTAGACCTCAGTTCCTTATCCACAGATGGAAAGGCTGGACAAGACCACTGTTGTCCAACAGAGCTTTCTGCAGTGACAGTATTCAAGTGTTGTTAGCCACATGAAGCAACTGAATTCTTACAGTGTGGTAGTGACCCTGAAGAACTGAGGTTTTTTTGTTTGTTTTTTTAATTGATTAAATTCAAATTTAAATACCCATACAAGTCCCTGTGACCAGTGACTACTGGATTGAACTGCCCAGAACTAAGTCTTATTCCATGAGTCATGGTGAGGACTAGAAGCTAGCCATATCCCTGACAGGAAGGCAGATAGGAAAGGGCCACTCATGATGGCAAACTTCTGGCTTCTTCTTCATCTGAGACAAAGGCCTGGGGGCTCCTTTTCCTGCCAGCAGGGTCCCTCTGACTGACCAGTCTAGACAAGTTGAGATTTGTCCAAGGCTAGACCTGGACATATCCTTATGTGGAGCTGTGAGCCTATCAGCCCTCTTTTCTTTTCATTTAAATTAATGAATCAAAAATTATGGGAGAGAGACCTGCCCTTTACCATCAAGAACACTTAAAAGACTCAGGACCTCCTGGGGTCTTTGGATTTTCAGTTTCTAAATCCCCTTTCCACTTGTTGGGAGGGGGTGTTTAGAGTCTTTACTTTCAATAAGGTTCACTGCCTGCTATGTCTGAGATTCTTCCTGCCTTTTAATTCTTTAATTGGTGGGGAAATGAGCCTGATCAAGACCCCTAGACAGTAATAGTGGTCCTGGAATGAACACTTCATAGATTTAGATAGTCTTTGTTTCCTTTCAGCAATGGATTTCAAACCACAGCATTTAACTATCTCCATATACCAAAGAATGCAGAGAAAATCCATGTGTTTGGGATATCCTAATGAGTCTGTTTTTAACAGAGACTCTCTTCGCTTCCCTCTCTCTGTGTAGAATGTGAAGGCACAGACAGGGTATTTGTAAGGGGGTAAGTGACACTTAGGAAAAAACTATAATAATTAAAATTATTATTTATTTTAGCCTTTGATACAAGGTCTCATCGTAGCCCTTGAGGCTGGCCTCAAATGCACTCTGTACCTGAGGATAACCTTGAACTTCTTGATCCTCCTGCCTCCACCCACCATGCCAGATTATACAGTGCTGGGGATCGAACCCAGGCTTTGTGCATGCTAGACAACACTGCGTACTGAGTTGCATCCCTAGTAAGAATATTTTTTATTCTTAGAAAAGCCAGATGATAGCCCAAACTTTGCTTTTCAACTCAAAGTTGAATATCCTTTACCACCATCGTTCAAGGATGAGACACAGGCACTTACCTCTGGTCTACAAAAACGAACTTCCCATCTATCGCGTGCCGGGAAACGTACTCCGTGGATTTCACCCTGATGTCGCCGCCGGCCGGTTGTGGCACCACATGTGAATGCAGCCGCCCGATCGCAACAAGGCAGCTGAGGTTACAGCCTTCGCTGTCCGCCTCGTTGTCCTCGTCCAGCCCCATCTTTGTGGGCGGCCAACTTTTCAAGTAGCCTGTGCTGTGGATCGTACAGAAGCTTTTTCGATCTGCTAGAAAGCACAAGTCCATGGTGAGTGTCAGTGCTGGCTTGGGGGTAGCATACAGTCAAAAGACAACAAAATAAGGCCTCACTCTCCAGAAGTCTGGTGAATGAGGCAGGTAGAATAGACAGTGGTCATCTGATGTCACATATGAACTGGAGCAGAGCCAGTGTACCAAGGGCCTACACCAGGGCAGGAATAAACCCTGGGGAGAAGAAGACTCCCAAGAAAAACCAGTGCCGGGGGTTAGCCAAGAGGGACGAGTAATGAACACTGGCTAAAGGACTAGAGTATATCTTCAAAGTATGACAGTGATCAAAGGCACAGAGACAGAGGCTGTAGAAGAAACAGTCAAGAGCTCCTGTGGCTGAAGTGAAAGGAAGCTGGGGTGGGGGAGTTGGCTCAGTGAGTAAAAGCACTTGTTGTGCAAGGCTGACAACCCACGAAAAGAGATGACCATCATGGCGTGCATCTATAATCCTAGTGCTTCTACATCTAGATGGGAGGCAGAGACAGGAGAAGAGGCCAGAAGCTTGGGAGCCAGTATGCAGCAAAGCATCCAGAAACCAGAGACCCTGCCTCAACCAAGGTGGAAGGAGGGAACCAACTCCTGAAAAGTTGTCCTCCGACCTCTGCTCGTGGGTCATGGCATGTGCCCCCCTTGCACACACAAACACACATACAAGCACACATAAAAGGGAGGGAGGGAGGGAGGGAGAGAGGAAGGGGGGAAAAGTAAGAACTAGAAAGGCAGGACAGATTATAAGGACCTTGGGTTATTTGCTAACAGATGTGTTAGGGATTTCTCCAGATAGGAAACGGGGAGTATCCAAGAGGATGTAAGTGGAAAACAGCACAATCAAGTGTTTGGGATAAAAGAGAGTAGAAACCAGAAGTGGGAGGGCTCAGAGGTCCACAGGTCAGATGTCAGACCATCTCAAGAGGTGATGAAGACTGAACGATGGCAGGGCAGGTGGGGGAAGCAGACAAACTTCTGACATAGAACTGTTGTGATTTGGTAATGAGTATCAGACATCAAGAACATATGGATGATCCCACTTTTGGGGTTGAGTGGCTACTGCTGTCATCCACTGACTCAGGGAAGAGAACACTGACCAGACAGAAGATAGAGGAAAACATGTGATTTGAGACACAACTGCAGCAATACGCAATAGCCCATCATAGAATGTATATCACACGTCTGTGCCAGGCACTGGAACACGGTAGAAAACAAATCAGAGGCCCCTAGGCAGCTGGGGAGCAGACGTTAAACAAGCATACAGAACAGGAACTATAAGAAAGCACCAGAGCCGGGCATAGTGGCGACACCTTTAGTTCCAGCACTCGGGAGGCAGAGGCAGGCAGATCTCTATGAGTTCAAGGTCGGCCGGGTCTACATAGCGAGTTCAGGCCGGCTGGGGCTACAGGGAGACCCTGTCTCAAAAAGACCAAAAAAAACCAAACAAAACAAGTACTAGGAGGAGAATACTAGGAGGAGAGTACTAGGAGGAAAGTACTAAAACGAGAGTACTAGGAGGAGAGTACTACTAGAAGGAGAATACTAGGAGGAGAGTACTAGGAGGAGAGTACTAGGAGGAGTACTAGAAGGAGAGTACTAGGAGGAGAGTACTAAAACGAGAGTACTAGGAGGAGAGTACTACTAGAAGGAGAATACTAGGAGGAGAGTACTAGGAGGAGAGTACTAGGAGGAGTACTAGAAGGAGAGTACTAGGAGGAGAGTACTAGGAGGAGAGTACTAGGAGGAGAGTACTACTAGAAGGAGAGTACTAGGAGGAGAGTACTAGGAGGAAAGCCTATGGGGTGCCACAGACGACACAGGCAGCTGAGCCTCCAAGGAGAAGCTGAAGGGACCTGTAGGGAGAAAGAGAACTTCCAATCAGAAGAGCACAGATGCTTGACCTCAAAAAGGGCTCAAAGCATCTGAAGGAAAGTCTGCATGTGGCAAATAAACCAAGGAGCCGCATGGACCTGGGCTGAGTCACCATTTTAAATATTCTGAATGTTTTTTCAAGAGCAGCAGGAAACAAGGGAGAGTTTTACAGAGGGGTTGATAAAAAGATTCACTTTTTAAAAGCTCACAGGGCAGCTGTGTGGAAGGGTGGGAAGTACTTAGTGTCTACCTCCCTGGATCTGGGGAGAGCTGAGAGTGGCTGGCTCCAAGAGACAAGCCTATGAAACAGGAACTTAGAAGATGCTCTTGCTGAAAAGCACTGAGCCATCACTGGGCCCACCAGTGCCTAAAAGCAGGATGAGAGCCGGGCATTTCTGCCTTCATCTTGTGCCTGTCTCCTTTACTTTGGCTGATAGCACAGAGGTACGTCCTTGCGCTAAACCTGCAGTCACCTCGGACTTCAGGATGAACGGCCCACCCCAGACGAGGCAATTATCCGAGAGGGCAAGCGAAGCTGCACCCTGAGCAGGAGCGATCACCTCCCGAGAACCACCTCGTCTCAAGTAATAAGCACCACCTTGTGGGACCTGAGCTGAGACAGTGTTCAGTGAGACCACACCTAGACCAGGGCTGCTTAATTAGGCATGCCACTTACCCCCAGTCTTCCTCTATTTAAGCCTAAAGCAAATGTCAGTGCCCCTGAAGACAGTCGAGGTCACCAGACCCCTTGATCTGTTCCTCTTCCCAGTATGGCCACGGTGAAGACAGCTCTCTGCTTTTCACATCCCTTGTCTCTTCAAATGGCACACTGGGGACAGGTGGCCTAGCCTTGCTTGTTGGGGCTGCTGGAGCCAGGCTTTTGGCCTAAAATCTCCAGTTACACCTGGATATGACAGGACACCCTTCAGGTAACATCAGCAGGTAGTGTGAGGGGCTCACGCAGCTCCTCTGGAGATGCCCTTGAACTTTACTCTGGAGAGGGATTTAACTAATGCATATGGAGTTCAAAAGAGGATCCTGAGCTAGGAATGTAAACCTGGAAGTTATTGGCATGCAGGTGACATTATCTATAGATCCGTGCAAACAGAGGACAGACTCCCCAGGACAGAGAGGAGGGGCCAACCAGAGGAACCAGGAAGGGAGGAGAGAGGAGTGTTGGGGGAGGTGGGAAGCACGTGGTTTTGTAGTATGCCAGGGAAGGGAACTCTGCAGGAAGAGAGAACCCCAAGCAGCATCTGATGCATATGAAGTCGCTGGAGAAACTAGCCAGGAGGGGCTAGAGGGGCGGTGGGTGCTCAAGGGGCCGTCAGAACTGCGGCTGAGCGAGCTCTTTCTCAGTCACATTAGGATAAACAGAATTTAAACACTTCCTAGCCTATTCACAAATCTATCCCCATGGCAACACATCAGGGCTTTGGCTCTCTCTCTCTCTCTCTCTCTCTCTCTCTCTCTCTCTCTCTCCCCTCTCTCTCTCCCCCCCCCCTTTCTCTTCTCTCTTTCTCTCCCCCTCTTTCTCTCCCCCCCCCTTTCTCTTGCCCTCACTCTTCAACTGCCCTCAGCTATAAGAGGGTAGGAGACCCTGGCTGCAGGCCAGGGACCGGCCTCTCCGGCCAGCTGGGAAGCCCTGGAGGGGCAGGCAGGGGCTGTTAAATTGTACCTTTTTTCTTTGAGCAGGTAGAGGGAAAGTCCTTGTCTTCAACCTTTACTGAAGGCCTGTTACACTTCATCCTACAGAAGAAAGAACGACGTGCTCCAGAACACAATCGAGACGGCCCAGGGGTTATATCTGTTTTAACCGGAAGTCCAGCTGCAAATCAATACAAAATGTGATGAACCGAGAGCAGGGTTGTCTGTCGGGAGGGGAGGTGTAACCTTGAACACAGCCTTTTCTTTACTGTCTGCTGTTGTTTGTAACCAGGACACCAGGTGACATTTCTGCCCAGCTTAGGCCTCAGAAGCTGCACTAAAGAGCCCTGTGTTGTTCATCTGGAAACGTTTACAGATAGGTAAACGTGCTACCAGACAGACAGAGTAGGTAGTCTGAGGGATGAAAAACGCAGCATCTCATTTCTGCCCAACAGGAGCTGGGGATGAGAGGAAATGAAGTGCTCTGAAAGACTAATAACAAGGAAACTTGGGGTCAGTCCCAAGTGACAAAGACACCTGCTTTCCAGGGAAGGAACTTAGGTCCTCAGGATAGGTAAGATCTGGACACTGGCGTGGAAGAGAAGACCTGGGACTGCCTTAAATTTTCAGCTCGTCTGAAGTCAGAATCCTAGGAGGGCCTTATCCACACCCAGGTTTGTGGATCCCAGTCTGGATTTGTGCTCTCTGATGTGACAGCAGCTGCTACCAGCACCAAGATGTGGCTTTTCTGAATTGAAAAGGGCTGTAAGTGTGAACACATGCAGGATTTCAGAGACATTACCAAAACACTGTTAAAGAACTTTAAACTTTTTCATATTATTACATGTCAGGATAATATTTTGGATTCATTGAGTTAAATACGACATCGTTTTAATTTGCTTTGCATTTATTCTTTTTTTTTTTTATTTTTCATGTGTATGAGTGTATTGCCTGCATGTATGTAAGTGCACCCATGTCATGCAATGCCCGAGAAGGACAGAAGAGGGTGTCGGATCCTCTAGAAGTAGAATTACAGATGGTTGTTAGCTATCATGTGGGTGCCGGAATTCGAACCCAGGTCTTCTACATGAGCAGCCAGTGCTCTTAACTGCTAAGCCATCTCTCCAGCCCATTATTCTTACTTTCGAAATGTGGCTGTCAACAAACATGAAACTAGACATGGGGTTCCTATTTGTGGGTTTTTTTCCATGGTGCTGGGGATGGAGCCTAGGACCTTGTGCCTACTAGGTAAGCACTACCAGTGAGCTCTTCCTCCACATGTCTCCTCACACTACCCACTAGTGTGGAAGCTGGGGCTGTGGACACCAGTTGGGGAGCCGAGTAATAGCTACTACCCAGGGCTCCTCCCTCCCACTGCCTTGCACAACACCTCTCTAGAACGCCAACCCAATCCTGCCCCACCCGGTTTAGTGCCCTTCCCTGTGTCCCTCTCCCTGAATGTTTTGCTATAAGGACACCAAATAAGCCATAAGGCTCCACACCTGTACCTACACATGGGTCGTTTCTCCTGCTGTCTCCCTGTTCCACCTGACAAACATTAGCTCATCTGTTCAAGGCCACCTTGGTGTCACTGGCTTAGGGGTGCCTGTCCTCATGCTCACGTGACAATATACATTCCATGTTCCATGCTTGGCAGCTGCTATGGCTATACCTACCATGCAGGGCACCACCCATGTCCCTGTCTCCTGACCATGTGAGAAGAGCCTCAAGGACTAAAGTCTTTAGGTCACTGAAACATGTCAAAGGCAAACTACAAAGGGTAACAGGCACCAGGGCCAACATTTCATGAAGAAGAATGCCTTCATGAAAAGCATGCTTTAAGGGGAGTTCTCTGAGGGCATTTCCATTAAGGATCAGCATGAAGAGCTTAGAAGCAAGAAATCAATTAGGCCAAGACTTCGGTGGGCCGAGGTGAACCCAACACTTACAATGCACTAGAAATTGCCCGTATTCTTTGTGTAGCGGATTAATTTTTTCATCTTTCAACAACTCAACAAATAGATAGTGTTCTGTAGGTGAGGGAAGGGGGCATAGAGAGGTGAAGTAACTTCCTCACAACCACACAGGGAGCAAACAGTGGAGCCAGGATGTGTGTTCAGCAGTCACTCTCCAGAGTCCATGCTCCTTTCTAACTGCAAGAGTGCTTGCCTCATACAGGGCCAGGAGGGAAGGGCTCCTGTGGCTCGGCCTGGGAAGCAGAAAATGGCTGAGAAGCAGGAAGGTGGGGGGCCACAGAGATGGTGGGGGGGACCATGGAGATGCTGACATTTTAGGTGTTGGGTTTATTTTCTGAGGCTGAATGTGTGAAACTCAGACAGAGGAGATTTGTTCTGGGAGAACAAACTGGTGTGAGCCCTTTCAATTCAGGAGCATGCTGTTGGAAAGTTCTAGATTCTGAAAAAAAAAAAAAAAAAAAACCTAGAAATCAGAAAGTCTGGATTTTGAAATGTGTCTTCTTTCTGTAGTTGACAATGAAAACAAACCTAAGAGAACATAAAAATTTCAGTCAGCCACAGAGAGCAGCTGTGGTGGGAAAAAACAGCAGGTGTGGGAGGGACAAGGCTGGGCCCTGAACCTGTCAGTACCTGGGCAGCGCAGGTGGCGATGAGGAGGCACGAAGCCACCCTTGCACTCACTTTTTGCATCGATGAGCCTCTCCCGGGGCGCAGTGTCTGAGGAGGACAGCTGCTCTTTGACTTTGGCTATATCTTTAGGATGCAGGTAGTCAAACAAGCTCTGCCCAATCAGATCATTCTGTGGAGATGACACATTAAGAAGGACAAGTCAGCTGCGGGTGGGACAGAAAAGTTGCAGTGATGTTCACTGTACAGCGCTGGCCTCTATTTTGTGTTCTTGAGTATGGACACCGCAAACACTTATTTCCCACTGACCCTGTGTGACACACGCCCAGCCCTCTGCCTAGATGGACTCAGAGAAGAGACATGGGGAGCCTGACTTCGATAACGTAGTGGGGAGGTTCAATGATAGGAAGAATCCGTGCTCCCTTCGGGCCAGAATCTTCTGGTTGTAGGGATTCTTTGACTTTGTTTCTGATGCCCAGGAGTTCCCTGGTAGACCTTAAAAGGAGGAAGGAAGCACGTGGGCTGTCTCCATCATGGGTATTAAACCTCTGTTCTTTTGTGTGTATTGGGGAAGCACTGTTTGTTTGACTCAGCAGTACCCTGTGTAGCCCTGCATAGCCTGGAACTCATGTAATCCAGGCTGTCCTCAAATTCATGATCTTCCTACCTTAGCCTCCCAAGTACTGGAATAACTGCCCAGCTAGCGACTCCTTAACCAAGTAGTATCATCGTGTGCCTCAGTCACCTTTGGCTGTTCTCAGAGGGAACAGAATTTCCTATGTTTGTTTGAGAGTGGGGGGAAGAAAAGCAAAACACCTTGCGGGAAAAACCCAATTTACATTAATTTTATTTATTTATTTATTTATTTTATGTGTATGAGTGTTATGCCTGCATGTGTGCAAGTGCACCCATGTCATGCAGTGGAGGACAGAAGAGGGTGTTGGAGCCCCTGGAACTAGAGTTATAGATGGTTGTTAGCTGCCATGTGGGTGCTGGGATTTGAACCTGGGTCTTCTACAAGAACAGCTAGTGCTCTTGACTGCTGAGTCATCTCTCCAGCCCCCGTTAATTCTAATTTATATAAATGCCATTTTGATTCAGTTCTTCTGCTTGCCAGGCTTCTGTGCAAAATAACAATGTGTGAATGAATGAATGAATGAATGAATGAAAATTCCAAGGATATAATAAGTGAAAAGCTTATTCTAAAAGTTTTCGTATGCTCCTCTTATTTAATCCCACAGCCTGTCCAAAACCATAAATGTGACAGTCAGTATTAACAGAATCTAGAATCATCTGGGATATGGGCCTCTGGGCATGCACCTGTCGGGGGTTAACTAGGTTACATTTACCAGAAGACCCACCCCGTGTCTGGCGCTGTTTCCTGACCAACCAGGATCCCGGACTGAACAGGTGGAGAAAGGGAACCGAGTGGCATCGTGCATTTACTGCTTTCTGTTTCTTGACCATGGATGAGATGTGACCAGCTACCTCAAGCTCCTCATGCTGTGATTTCCCAGCTTTGATGGACCGTGACCTGAAGCTGTGAGCTAAAATAAACTCCCTTGAGTTACTTTGATCAGAGTATTTTATCACAGCAACAGGCAAAGAAACTAAGTCAGTATGGGTCATTAGAATCCAGTTTTAGAGGAGGGTGAGGCTCAGCAGCGCTCCCCATCACCATAAACACAGTGCGGATAAGTTTCCAAATTTCTTATTCTTTGCTACTGAATTACCTGCCTGCCTTTCTCTCCCTTGTCAAATAGCCTCACTGCCCTCCCGACTCTAAAAATGGAGATATTCACTGCACAGCACTAGGAAAGCCACCACTGTTGGTCAGGTCAGAGTCAGTCACCCCAGTGAGGGCACATGGGGCACATTAAAACTGCTCCTAAGTTTAAATTCACGTCTCTGTTAAGACATTTTATGGAAGCAGGATTTCACATGGGGCTTATATACTGTAATTCTTCTGGAAAACCAGGGTGATAGTTCCAACTACCATGAGGATGCCCACTGCCAACAGGAGCTTGAACATTACCTGGCTGTAGTTGAGGATCTTGAAGACAGACTCGGATACAAAGAGTATTTTCCCTCGGTCACATCCTACGACAAACAAAAATCCATCTGCTGCCTAATCAGGAGAAATGGATAATCAATTTATCACACATCAGGATACAGGATTTGAAAGCAAATCAGGGATTTGTTTTCTAAGTCTCCAAAGCTTAGGGCCACACACTGACACTCTTGTTGGTACTTAAAGCAAACTCTTCAGGAGATCAGTGAGAATCTCTAAAGTGGATACACATATCCACATGTCATCTAATGATCTGAGGGGAAAGGTCAAAAAGGAAGTTTGTTTCAAAACAAATTCAGCTTAAACTTTTTCTTCTGGTGTATAACAGTCCAGAAAAGTCAAGTTTCACTGCTCTATGACACCTCTGTGCTGGTTAGCCTTAACCGTCACAACCTAGAACCACCTGTGAAGACAGGCTTTTTCAAGACTGACTGTCTTCTTATGTGTATGAGGGTTTGTCTGCATGTGTGTAAATGTACCATAGTGCCTACGGAGGCCAGAAGAAGGCGTTGTATCCAAAGAATTGGGAGTTAGGGACGTTATGGGTGCTGGGAACCGAACCTGGGTCCTCTGTAAGAGCAGTCAGTGCTCTTAACTGCTGAGCCATCTCTCTAGTCCCAGGGAAGAGAGTCTTAAGAGGAATTATCTAGGTCAGGTTGGCCTGTGGGCATTTCTGTGACAGATTTTCTTGATGGTTAATTTATGTAGGAGGACCCAGCCCATCATGGGGAGCACCATTCCCTAGGCAGGGCCTCCTAAATGATATAAAAGTAGAGAAAGCTGGCCACGAGCAGGCAAGCAGGGGTCTGGGCATGCATTCTCTCAGGTCTTGACTGTGGATGTGATGATTTAAGTTCCTTCCTTGACTTCCCGCCAATGATGGACTGTAAGTTGGAATAGTAGGCCAAATAAACCCTTCCCTCCCCTGTTCCTTTTTGCCAACACTTTGTTACAACAGAAATGAAACTAAATCTCAGTGGAGACCATCGAATGAGACTGTAAGAACCCTTTAAAATTAGAATTCCCTCTTCAGCATCTCCACCATCATCTGTCCTGAACCTGAACACCTTCTCCAGGGAGCTCTCCAGATCTGTGGGCTTTAATATTTGGAGTAGGGTTGTTTTAGTTTTTTGCTGGTGGCCAGGCAGGATGGTGGTTGACATGTGTTATTGAAGCCCAACCCCAAGTGTGTTTCAACTGAACTATTTCCCTCCCCACAAAGCTGGGCTACTGTACTGTAAGACAGACATAAGAAACAAAGCAGGGGCTGGAGAGAGGGCTCAGCAGTTAGGAGCGCTGGCTGCTCTTGCAAGAGGACCCAGGTTTGGTTTCCAACATCCACATGACACCTCAGAACTGTCTGTAGTTCCAGTACCAGGGGATCCAATGCCCCCTTCTGGCCTCCGTGAACACTGCATGTACCTGGTGCATTTACATACAGGCAGGTATGACACTCATACAGACAGAATAAAAATAAGTTATTTTAAAAACGTTTTCTTTCATCAAAGCAAAGCAGTAGTGCTGATGAGGTTCTTGCCTAGCAGGCATGAGGTCCTGTCTTCAAGCCCCACCTCCCCCATATATAGAAAAGAAAGTAAAACTTTCCCATAGATTCTTCTTCCCCTTGCTTCCGTTTAAACACAGGTGAAAAACCTTAAGTGCCAACAAAAGCTTGGCTGGAGATAAGACAGCTGGCGAAGCACGCAGACCCCAGCTACAGTGAGCGCCTCGGCTGTTCTGGCTACGGGTATGGGAATTCTACCCGCGACTTGCCAATGGCCGGCCGCTCAGCCCTCTGGGGCCTCCTGGTGACAGGGAGGCTGCTCCCATGTCGGCCATGTGCTTGCTCCTATGACTCTGCTCCCCCGCTCTGATGCGCAGTGGGTCCACTGCTTATTCATGAGTCCTCAGTCAATTCTATGGAGAATTCTAGAAAAAGTCTGTTTTCCTTTATACAAGAAGGCCTTGGAATATAGTTTAATTCAAAGGAAGTATTGAAATATGAATTCAAGACCCAGAAAATAAAATGCTAGTGCATGCAGCTGTGCTGGGATGTAAGAAGTGAATGAGAGAGGACAGAATCGCTCTGCACATGAGACCAGTCAGGCCACCAGCCTCACTGTCGCTCAGGTCCCTAAGCCAGGCCAGGGTGAGGGCTGACGGTGAGGGGGAAGCAATTTGCCAGGCACCATTTTCTGGAAGCCTCATTATGTCAAAACTCGGATATTAATAACTTCCTTATTTGCCTTGCAGACATTCATATCTCACAGGAGAAGAGTTTTCAAGGCTTTTCACTGAGAGTGGGGATATGGCACAGAAGGTGTCTGGGAAGGTGACTGACATCCTAGCAGGTGTGCTGGGCAGAGTCAGGCTTGGCCCGAGACCTGAGCAAAGCGATTTCCAAGGAGGGCAAGCAGGTGGCAGAATCAGCGTGGAGCAGTCAGCTGGGGCTTTGGACACTGTGTCTGCTGCCCTCTGTCAAGCAGATAGCCAGGCAAAGGAGTGGGCCTGCGGGACAGCTGGGGAGCAGAACACCAAGGCCATGAGGACGGCCAGGGCAGGCTCCTTCTCAGGGAAGACTGCACCAGTGAGCGAACGACGCTGGAGTCCCAGCAGTCTGCCCAGGATTCAAAATTTGGGGCATAGCAGGCAGATCTCTGTGAGTTCAAGGCCAGCCTGGTCTACATAGTGAGTTCCAGGACAGCTGGGGTTACAGGGAGACCTTGTCTCAAAAAGACCAAAAAAAAAAAAAAAAAAAAAAAAATTCAGGGCATAGAGTGCCTAGACATTATAAACTGATAAGGTTAACTGATCTCTCACATTCTATTCAATATGATATTCTGAAGCTGGGTGTACTGGCTCATGCCTGTAATCCCAGGTTCAGGAGGTAGAGGCCAACTTAGCCTCCATAATGAGTTCCAGGCCAGCCTGGGCTAGAGTAAGACCCTTACTAAAGGCATTTAGTAAAGAAAGCAGTTCCTCAGATAAGCAGTTCCTTAGTCATAAGAAGTTCAAGACCTGCTGCCGACCATTGAAACATCACCCAAATCAGTCCAGATGTTCACCAAGAGATGCGTGGAAAAGTGTGGGATACACATACACACACACACACACACACACACACACACACTGGAGTATTACTCAGCTGTAAAGAGGAATGGAATTAGGTCATTGTAGGAACATGGATAGGATTGGAAATCATCATGTTAAGCAACATGAGCCAGACTCAGAAAGACACACACTGTGTGTTTTCTCTCATATGTGGATTCTAGATTTTAAAAAATATGTGTACATGGACTGGAGAGATGGTTCAGCGGTTAAGAACACTGGTTGCTCTTGCAGAAGACCTGGGTTTGAATTCCATCACCCACATGGCAGTAACAACCGTCCATAACTCCAGTCCTAGGGGATCCGATAGCCTCTTCTGTCCTCTGCGGGCACTGCATGACACAGGTGCACTTACCTACATGCAGGCACAACACTCATACACATAAAAATATATATATGTACATAAATACATTTCCATATATATACATGTACATACGTACATACATACACACAGATGTGTGTGTGTGTGTGTGTGTGTGTGTGTGTGTGTGTGTGGCACATCAGATCCCCTGAAACTGGAGATACAATAAAGATGATTGTGAGATGCCACACGGGTGCTGGAAACTGAACCAGGTCCTCTGCAAGGGCAGTCAGTGTTCATAACCACTCCAGCCCCACAAGTATTACATTTCATGTCTTCACAGATACTCAGCTGGCAAAGATCCTCTCGTTCTGTTAATCATGGTCTTTGCTGTGTTTTAATTTCATGTAATCCCATTAAAATCAATTACTACTAAAAAAAAGTAAAGAGGTGTGGGGAGAATAAAGACCCTATTCCTTCATCTACTAAAAAAATAAAGCCAGATGTAGTGGTGCCTGCCTTTAGTCCCAGCACTCAGGAGACAGAAGCAGGCAGATCTCTGTGAATTTGAGGCCAGCCTGGTCTACACAGTGAGATCCAGGCCAGCCAGGGCTATATAGAGAGATCCTGTCTAAAAATTAAAAATATAACCTGAAGACAGTTAACAAACAAGGGCTGATGAGATGGCTCAGAGGATAAAGGCATCTACGCACATACACGTTTGCACACATGTACACTAAATTAATGCAATAAAAACATCTTTTAGAGAACATCATCACTGAGCGTGGTGGTCCAGTGTTGGATTTCCAGGATGGGTTAAAACCTCAAGAAGCCTGAGTTTCCCCGGCCCTTTTTCTAGCTAGACTGACTGCTTAGACTGGGTCCTGCCCCTCAACACAGGCAGTATCCCTGTTCACTTAGCCAGCTGTGTGACAAGAGAGAAAGAGCCAGTTCCTGCGCCCTCTGCAACCCCACAGCAACCCCACACAGCTATCCAGAACCAGTTACATCTAAGACTTGAAATCCTGTCAACCCACCGGTCCTCCCCTCCACTATAGCTGAAACACTCCCATTTGACATAGCTCATCAGGAACCAGTGCAGTGAGCACAGAGCAGAAAACAGGTGGGCTTAGCTTGGGACTGCAGGTTTCTGCTGAAATACGGAACCACAATGTGGAAGAGGGTGAGCACGTGAGGTCAGACCTGGTGCACAGAGTAGGGGACAGGCATTCTTCTCAGCTACATTTTTTTTTTTTAAAGAATTCTTGGAACAGGGGCTGGAGAGATGGCTCAGCGGTTAAGAGCACTGACTGTGCTTGCAGAGGACTGGGGTTCAGTTTCCAGGAAACACATAGTGACTAATAACTGTCCATAACTCCAGTACCAGGGCATCAAACACCCTCTTCTGACCTCCATGGGCACTGCATGACACAGGTGCACTTATATATATGTAGGCAATATACTCATACACATATATTTTTTTTAAAAAAAGGAATTCTTGAAACAACAACAAAAAAAAAAGAAAAGAGGCTGAACTAAACATTCTTTAAAAAGCAAACAAGGAACTAGAGAGACGACTTAGTGGTTAAGAGTGCTATCCACTCCCAGAGGACTAGAGGTCATATTATAACATCCATGTTTCATGACTCACTCCAGCTCCAGGAGTCCTCTTTTGGCCTCTGCAGTCACCTGCACTCACACACACACACACGTACTCACATTCACATACACACATATACACATAACTTTAAAAATAAAATGAAACACATCTTTTTTTAAAAGAGTATCCTCATAACCCATTTGTAAAACTTAGGACATATTTTTAAACTCCCATAAGATTATGGCATTCTTCTGACTTACTTTAAGGACAGTAACCAGTGTTGATCACGGCACAGTGAAACACTCATTCCCATGCTCTGCTGATAACAATGAATTTTAGTAAAATCATGGAAAACCCTGGTAATAAATTTAAAGTTCTGAAAACATATAGAACTTTGGGTCTAGGACCCCTCCTTCTTAAATCTAAGCAAATTTAGGTTCAAACTTTACATAAAGGATGTCTCAATGCATTAAAAAAATTTTTTCAGTTTGTAGTGTCTTCTGAATCTAGCTTCTTTCCCTTTTAGTTTCCTAGTTAATCCCACTCTGCCCAGTGGCAGGCCTGGAGCCTGGGCCTGGGCCTGCAGCGGGCCTACTCCTGTGTAAGACAACAAGTTCCTTTGATGCCAGCTCTGCCATCTCCTCAGAGCTAGCAAGACAAGCATAGCCTGGAGGTCAAGCACGTGAAAGCATGCTTTGGCCATTTTGTTGTCTGGATGGACTCAGGTATAAAAGTTTGTGTGGACCTTTCGTGCCAGTGGTTAAGTTAGGAAAAGAAAGATCCCGCCTGTTGTCAGATTCAATCTTCTCTAAAAGCTCCATGAAGGAATCTAATGCTTTAAAAAAGAAAGAAAGAAAGAAAGAAAGAAAGAAAGAAAGAAAGAAAGAAAGAAAGAAAGAAAGAAAGAAAGAAAGAAAGAAAGAGAGAAAGGTTTATTTCTATTTTGTGTGTGAGTGTTTTGCCTGCATGTGTGTCAGTGACCCACGTTTGCAGTACCTGCGGGGAGGCCAGATGAGGGTGCTGAGTCCCCTGGAACTGGAGTTCTGGATGAATGTTAGCCGCCATGGGGATGCTGGGAACCGAATCTGGGTCCTCTGCAAAAGCAGCCAGGGCTTTCACATCTCCAGTGAGTCATCTCCAGCTCCAGGAATCTGAGTCGTAACTCACTTCCGTTTTTAACAAAATCCTGCCTTTTTTGGCTTAAAATTCACACTGGCATAGACCTTCCACCCTTTCCTAAGCAAGGTGACAAGAGAGGTGACGGGTGGAAGGAATGTGAAGCCTATCCCCAAACACAGCTAAAGGGGGAGGCCCACGGGAGGAAGCTGGCCTAGGAGAGCTCAGTGTGAGATGCCAGGTTCCCCCACGCTGTATGTGCTTGAACCTCATTAAAAAACCACTGTGGTGTAAAGGAATCCTGTAACTGCAACATACCCTGAGAATGAGGTGTTTCAGTTCGTCGTCTGACAGAAAGGTCGGCTTGTAGTTGGCTTCTGTGTATGGGTTGGTGGCACCTTAGGGGAAAAAAGAGAGAGGTGGTGGATGTTCTACCGCAGCGTCACACTGCGGCCTCTAACTCTCTAGATGAACTCTACACCCACACCTGGGAGATACATCTCTTTCTTTTACAGAAACAGGGCTGGATTGGTTGTGCCAAAGAGAATCCCATCGAAAAGAAAACACTACTGCCCACAAGTTTCCTTTCTTCATTTGAGGGGACAGCAGGTGGTAAAGGGAGGAACTTAAAAACCAGTGGGGGGGGGGGACAGAGAGAAAGAGAGGGAGAGGGAAGGAAAGAGGGAGAGGGGGAGGGAGGGAGAGGGAGAAAGAGAGGGAGAGGGAAGGAAAGAGGGAGAGGGGGAGGGAGGGAGAGGGAGAAAGAGAGGGAGAGGGAAGGAAAGAGGGAGAGGGGGAGGGAGGGAGAGGGAGAAAGAGAGGGATGGGGGGATAAGGAGGGAGGGAGGGAGGGAAGGAGGGAGATCTAGAAGCCAACCAGGACCGCCTCCTGGGCAGGTTCCAGGGCACTGGTCATCTAGCAGTCCTTGGAAAATCACTCAGGTTACCAGGTCCAGAGTGACGAACTGCAAAAGAAATGGAGAGTGTGCCCCACCTCCTTGGGTGACCATGGCTGCCTGGGGAAGGTGGTGCCTCCACCCACGCAGTTCATTCCCAGGCTGAAGGGGACCAGACTTGTGTTTAAAAGGCCCTCAATCTGGTATTCTCCAGAAATAACAACCAAGAAAAGTGTCGGCATTACATGAAGAGAATTTGCAGAGTAGCCCAGTGAAAGAATGAGACCAGCTGGTCCATAACAATTCAAGGCACTGTGGGGCAGGAGGCAAACCAATGTCTGCGACTTTTCTATCACCAGCAAGGCACATATTTTAAACCTCGTCCCTTGAAATTTTCCATTTTCCTTCCAATTTATCAGAAATTAAAGTATTACAACCCACATCATCTTCTCTAAAATAAAAATTTCAATGCCATTCTCCAAGCACAGGATTCAACGTTCCTATATTTTTGAATAATGATTAAAAATCAAAACAAAAGTGACTTCACATTTCTAGTGGCCTTATGTGATACAAAGTTGTGCCTCTCTCCAACGCAAGTCAGATGAGGCTGAGCGCCCTCTTTTCTAATTTCGTCTTATAGCCCAAGACTAGCTATGGAAAATTCCAGGAACAATGTTCACCAAAACACATGATATATTTCAGGTTTCTCCTTCAGTTTGGGTAAGTCACTTCTACTTTTCTGTCTCTGTTTTCTCACCCTCCCCACACTCAGCAAAAAAGAAAATACTGCCCCCTCACGAGTCAATCTAGTTCGGGAAAATTCCAGGAAGATGAAAATATCAGGGCTCGTTTTTGACAATAAAATACATGGAGAACTATCTATCAACTCTTTACAGTGACTCACTCTTCAGAGGAACCAGGGTAAGCTTTGCACTTAAAAACAGTTCTTTCCTGCATCACTCTGTGTGCCTACAATGACTTTATCATTATGAGAGTGGGATCCATGCACAGGTAAGAAGGGACTTGAGGGGTGTCCTCTCTGCTAGGCAGGGACATATATATCCCTGCATGCACAGGGGTATGCAAGTTCACAGTGTGTGTGCTCAGGGGAGGACTGACTGCAAATTACATCTCCATACCCACATGAGCTCATGAAGCACTTGCTTCGGCTTCCTCTCTGTGGCTAGGATGTACAGGCACACTACTTGGGGTCCCAGATTAAGAGAAGTCACCATCTGCCCAGGGGCAATCCAGGCAAGGGTGGTAATAATGTGAGCGCGCAAGAACAGAAGGACGACAAAGCCCGAGGTCTCACCTCGCAACGTTTTCATGTGCTGAACAGCCATCCTTAGCACGGTGAGTTTATCCAGTTTCCTGGACATGGCGTTGCATGTTGGGACCAAAGATGCCAATTCATCGATGAAACTGTTCATTTTATCCCGACGTCTCTTTTCAATCTGACTGTGAGCTTCCCTGAACAGAGGACCAAAAAGAAAGTTTCCTTTAAGATGAAAATTGACATCAGAGCAACAACGGTAAAAGGAAACAGCTGTAACTGGAGCCGATATGCTCTGACGAGGGGAACACAGACTGCAGAGTATGTCAAGTTAGACTTTTATGCTAAAGATCACCCCCAAAATGACAGGTCACAATTAACTGGGTGTTCTGTTTGTTTTTTCCTTTTGTTTTTTAAATGCTCACCTCATTAAGAAATAATTTTATGAAAATTTTTCTTGTCAACAAACATAACTTTTCCTCATTGCTCTTCTCTTCAGAGTCTCTAAGACTGGATTTGGGGGGGAGAGGTCGAGGGAAGAAGAAAGGAGGTGGAGGTTCCACAGTCAAGCACCCAGGTCCCACAGCGGTACCTGTGAGGTCTGTGAGGAGCCGACCATGTGGTACTAACCCTGCCATCCTTGGATTAACCAGTACACATGTGACTACAACAGATGTTCTCTGTGCCCCCAGGTGTCCTCTGAGGGCTATGACACTCACATCCCATCCAAGGAGTGAGTGCCTTGAGGTAGAATGATATTCCTGCACGTTCTCCTGACAGATGGGCACCTACTATTTTTGACCACCCTCTCAAGGGGGAGCATCCACCAATGGAAAAGTAGATACAGAGTCACAGGGCCTCCTGCATAGGCTGGTCTTTGAGGGAGAAGCTGAAGTCTCAGGCCAGCGAGGGTCTGCAGCGTGCTGCTCCTCTGTGTGTGGTGATACACCTCAGCTAGCCCTGATTAGAGGCAGGGAAGCCTGAGGACCCAATAGAACAACGGGGTCAGTGAGTGTGACTGAGGTAGGAAGGACCGGGTTAGAGGCTCTCAAAGGCAGCAGATGAGCCCAGATCTGGCCTTCAGATGCAACTTGCAGTACAGTAAAGGCCCTGTCAGAGGTGAGGCACAACTCAGGAATGGAGTCTTGGAGCCATGTTTCCTCTAGGTCACTGACTCAGGACATAGCAATATGCTGGAGACCGGGGAAAACGCCAGCCTGGAGTGACTTTCTGCTACCTCCAAAGTTTCCTCTGGGTTAAATGTGTGTGTAGACAGCTCTGAGTGAAGGCCAGCTGAACACAGAGGGGACAAAGGCAGAAGGCCACATCAAGACAAAGCCTGCTACCACCTCGTTTCCTGAGGAACTGACAGTGCCTGAAAGGACTCGACAGACAGACCAAATGTACAGAGCCTCCTCAGCTGCCCTCTAAGCACCGGAAGCAGGATGATCTAGAAACAAAATGTGAAGTAAAACTCACCTTGCATTCTTGATCCTTCCTTGGTGTTCTGTGTATTCTAACCTGGGGGTGGAAAAGCAAAAAATGAAAAGGTTAGCCCCTGGAGGTGAGTGCGAGGTTGTACACTTCTGTTTCCTTGTCACCTCTCTAGACATACAAGCGTTCTTGGTTATTAACCATGCTAGAGACTGGGGAAGGAGGGACAGTCTACAGCTCACAGGGTCATGGCCTCCATGTTTCTCTCCAATCAGCCTATCCTGAATATGCATTCACTGTGCAAAGAAAATGGCTGCAAGATCACCGAAGTCCAAATGACAAGGGCTACGGTACCTTCCGTGAGGATCGTCTTTGTCTGTGTCCATACTTTCTCTGCAAAAACAAGAGAAGATGATCTCCTGTTAATACAGACATCAGGCATAGCTGCTGATCATCACGTGAAGGCTCCCATTTACCCAGAAACCAGACTACTGAGAAGCTCCGATAACTATGATATGGGTTTGATGTTTAATGGTAATATAATCGAGAGCGATCAAGTTGAAACTACTATACAAACTAGACTGGCTTTCCACATTACCAAGCAAAAGTTATAAGCAGCCTCAATCGAGTTTTAAGTTCAATGCACTTGTCCATATTCTGGCTGTGAGAATTGATGGAGACTCTTAGTTAATCAGAGTAGCTAAACATCTATCCCCCCCGTTCCCTAGTTATTCGGGATAAATGGAGCTTATTCTACTTGCAAAACATACCAACCACTGAGATGCTAGCATAGCACGTGTCTATTTGGTGGGTAAAGTGAGGAAGCGCTAATTAAAGCAGAGGCAGCATTTCAAAGGCCCTGCCACCACATGTCCTGCCTCTCAGTCAGACGGGCACCCCTACACTCAAGGAATTGGGATGGAGAGGAGTGTGGGGCAGAGGCCCTCAGAAGGTCCTGGGATCACAGCAGGAGTTTGCCTCCCTTTCACAGACCCCAGAAATCCACGTTTCATGGCATCTAGTGGTTCAGTAAACACAAGCTGATACCCTCAAAAGAAGGTGTTCTAGTCTCTCCTTGGGGTCAGCTCGGTCCCTTCTCCATTTCATATATTAGTCAGGAAGGCACTGACTGCCTCCTGGGCTCCTCTCCCATCCCCCTTATCCATAAGGAGGACTGTGGCCCTTCAAACAATATAAACTTGTTTCCAGAAGTGTTGGATCACATCAAGGGCATTCTAGAACAGTGATTTCCAACTAGGCACCCTGGGCGATCTTCATAAGCAGTTTCTCCAGCTAGTCTTAGAGCTCTGAGGAAATCATACAGGTTACATGAGCAAATATGCCCCCTTTCACCAGGAATCATATCTGTTGCTGTGGTTAAGTTCATGCCGGGGGAGGAAAAGCCAATGACCTTCACGTAGGAAGACGACAAGGTACAGACCTACGGCTGCTTAAGTAATCAAGTCTCTCTAGGAATTACAGGAGGTTTGCAAACTGAGGTCCATGAAGGATGCCTGAAGGATATTAGGAGAAAACGAAGCTGGAAACCACAGGTCCAGGTATCAGGAGTCTTAGAACATGTCAGTGGTCCCATTGGCACTTACCCAAGACAAGTATTCACAAAAAAAAATGTTCTGGTCTGTTCTGTGCTGGGAATCAGTGCTAAGGAAGGAGCCCCTTGGTCCTCACACCCACTCTCCACCCCCTGGGTGTTGACTCTCTCAGTGATCTGGAATAACTTACATATTAATCATAGCATCTCCTAGTGGGCATCTGACCTCCAGCCACTGCTCCCCAAATTCGACCTGTGAACTTCAGCAGAAAGGACATCTGCTGTAGGGGAGGTACCTCCTCAGAGACTTTTCCCTCATTCAACAAAAGTAAACCTCTTCAGTGGACCTTTGGGAAAGACCGCACACAGCTGCCTCCGCTAAATGAAACGTGCCTTTGAAGGTCCTACCCTGCCTTCCTCCCTAGAGACTACAGATGCAGAAAAGCGGGTGGTGAGTAGGAAAATTTACTCACTCAAAAGATAAGTCATCAAGTCTAAAAAGAAACGGAAATACTATTTAACATCACAGGTATGCCCAATGTAAACAGTGCCGATGTCCCTGGGCTGTTTGCAGGCTGACCTCTGCTTACCCACTCCACATGTTAGCTAAGCACCTGAAACTCTCCGTGTTCCTCAGGCAGAGGCCTCATGCTGGCTCTCCTCACAGCCCCTGACATTACATCTCCATATTGAGTTCTCCTGCTCTAAGGAGCAAAGAAAGAGGAAGACAGGAGCAAAGAGCTGAATGTGGCTTGAAGGCTTTTCTTTTCCCCCTCGACAAGGAATAACCTAGGGACAGTAGGTGACACAAACACCTCTGAGGTGATGCAAACTTGCTTTGCTGTCATCCAGGGACAAGTGAAACCAAAATCAAATGCACAGCACCTGGAGAGGGACCTCAGCTTCCTACCCCTTCCTCTGGGAACAATGGTAGGTGTCCATAGGTGCTCCAAGCCCATCCACCGCCCACCACCGCCCGTAGTCAACACGCAGCCAAGAGCCCTGGAGGCCTTACTGGTAGTCGGTGGAGCTGCCTTTCCTTTTGCGGTTGCAGTCCACACCACTTGTGCCCAGGGAGCTGGAGAGCAGGTCAGTGGGGCCCGGAGACATGAAGTCACTGATTGTTGAAGAAATGTCCATTCTCTGGTCTGCCATTGGAAGGAGGCTCTGGAAAGGTTACAAGGGGAAATTCTTTCTTTTAAAAGATTTTAAATTATTTGTATGTGTGCATGTGCATGTGAGTGCAGGTGGCCTTGGAAGCCACTGGTATTGGATCTCCCTGGAGCTGTTGGTACAGGTGGTTGTGACTCACCTACTGTGGTGGTGGGAACTGAGCTCAGGTCCTCTGGAAGAGCAGCAAGTGCTCTTAACTACTGAGCCATGTCTCTCGCCCTGGGACAGTTATTTCAATGTGCTCTTCTATGGTGATGCAGGGCCTGGGTGGCACTGAGGCATCCAAGGCTAGTTTACTCCACTAATATCCCTCACCCAGTCAGCCCAGGAGAGGTCACGGGAGAGAGGAGGGAGCATCACGCTCATTTTAAGAATTAAAATGACCCTGCATTGAGTCCTGAGGCTTGAGGTTATGACCCAATGTTCCACATGTTCTCAAACATTCTCATTTTATATCCTTCCGATCAATAAACATAACATAATGTGACATAAACATTATTCACAAGTTGTTGTCTTTGTACTTTTGCTGTAACTTTTTAAAAAAGAAATATTTTTAGAAAAGCCTAAGATATAAGAAAGAACAAAGTTGGGCACTGATGACACAAACACAGGACTTGGGAGGTGGAAAGCAGGAGGATCGCATGTTCAAGACCTGCCTGGGCTACACAGTGAGACCCTGTCTCACACCCCCACTCCTTCCCCTAGACCCTGTCTCACACCCCACTCCTTCCCCTCCAAAAGCCTATGTCTTTCTGTGGAATGAAGAAACCCTCCAGTTCCCTATTTATTTATTTTTGAGACAATGTCTCACTGTGTAGCCCTGGCTGGCCTGGAACTCTCTTGTGTAGACCAGGCTCCTTGAACTCAGAGATCCACCTACTTCTGCCTCCTGAGTGCTGTGATTAAAGATGTGCACCACCACACCCCACTCTTCTCCACCTTAGTTTTCGGTTTGTTTGTTTGTTGTTGGTTTTGTTTTGTTTTTGATTTTTTTGAGACAGGGTCTCCCTGTAGTCCCAGCTGGCCTGGGACTCGCTATGTAGACCAGGCTAGCCTCAAACTCACAGAGATCTGCCTACCTCTGCTGGGATTAAAGGCGTGCACCACCACACCCAGCTAAATAAAATATTTTTTAAAAAGAAAATATGGTCCTTTTTTTCTTTACCTAAGCAAGGTCTGTCCTGTCTTCTTCTCCTACCTCCCCCTTCCCCACCCTTTTGTTCCCCCAAATCCCCTTGCAGAACTAAATGAAGACATTACAAACAAAGTGCAAAACATTTTGTGAGTTCATAGCTTATAAGCCAAAGTCAGTTGGCTGAAAAAAGGTGATAAATAAGTACCTTGCAAGGGACTCTAACGCCAAACCCTGGTTGAAGAGTGGGTGCTCTCTGGGTAGCCAAGGGCTCCAAGCTCCACAGGCTAGGACTGGGGCTGTTACTCCCTCCCTCTGGGCCCAAGTTCCCACATCTGCAAAACAAGAGGGTGAGGGTGAAGGTGAGGGTGATGACTGTCGTCCACCGTCACCATGTGTCCACAGGTTAGTGACCCAGCCCCTCCTAGTCAGGTGGACCCCAACCTCTCACTTCTACAAGGGCTGCCAGAGCCTATGTCTCCGTGCTTCTGTTATCTCTTAGAATTAATTTCTAAAAGTGGGACTGATGGGCCAGGGGGATGGACCCAAAACACTGTGCTTTTAGACAGCTCTAGTAACTTCTATCCCCAGAGAGCTCCTGACGATCTGAAAGGGGGGCCTTGTTTAACTTGTACTTTCAAATTATTACTGACTGTGCCTCTCCCTTTGCAGATATTTGTCTCCCCTGGAGTCTATACTCACACCCCGTTCTCTGCCACGTGGCCTCCTGCCCCATGTTACCTGTGTGCCTGATGGCAGAACAAACATACACTGCAGACTTCACACTGTCTTCTGGCTCTCACCTAAACTGAGAACTTTTCTTCATCTCCTGTTCTTGCTTTTTTCCTCCCCAGTGCTGGGGTTCAAGGTAAGGCTCATGCATGCTGGGAAATACTCAAGCACTGAGCCACACCCCCAACCCTGCTAACTTTGCTTCTTTAACTGAAAAAGGAGCAAGCAACAACATCTACAACCCATTTGATACTGCCATTGAGGTTCCCATGCCCCAACTCCTGTTTGACTCCATCTCTTTTATCTTCCCAGGACCATCATTCCAGAGCCTTCTGCCCAATCCTACATCATCCATGTTCCTCACATGTCTGGTCATTCCCGTTTAGATAAAAACATCAGCCATATAACTATATATTGGGAGAAAATAAACATGGTTTCCAGTAGTGCTGGGTATTGAACCCAGGGCCTCGTGCTTGCTAGGCCAGGACACTACCTCGGTGCTGAGCTATATATACCCCCAGAACCCAGATAAACTGTTTTGAACATGATCTTCCTTTGCTATTGTCTCATTTTTTATGTCTTCAATCCCCCCCCCTTGGTTCTCTGTATAGCCTAACTTGAATCGGGCTTTTGTCCCCTCACTATGTCATTACAAGACTGTGGCAGGCCTTGCTGGCTCAGCAGGAACCACCCTCTTCTAGATCAAATGGCCAGCTCTCGCTCCTCGGCCACCAGCAGCATCAGCAGAGCTGCCCTCTCCCTGGTCATTGTCTCTAGCTTAGGAGATGCCATTTTTTCCATGGTTTCCTTACTGCAGGAGTGTTCTTCTCTGTTCTCTAACTGATTCCTCCTCATCTCCCTCACCTCTAGATACCAGTCCCATGGGAGTTGTGGAACCTCTTCTCTGTCCATTCTCACTCTAGGAGCTCTCCCTGGGTTCCCTGTCTCAGCCATCCACAAAGCAACCCCCAGCTTCTCTCTCCAGTTTGGATGCCCCCCTGAATTTCAGATTTATATAAACACCCATCTCCCCAGCATCTCCATGTGACTCCACAGCAGAGACCCCACACTGATGCATGCATGGTTGCTCCAAACAGCACGTCCCAGTCATCTCTGGGTAGTAAAGTGGCCTTCCTGGGAACCAGCCCCAAGCCAAGACGCTGCCTGATGCCTCTCTTTGTCCCCTACTGGCACAAAACTCAAAAGGTGGAACTCAGCGCTTCTCCCTCAATGCTCTTGTTCAAAAACCACACTTCTTTGACTGGCCACATAGTATAAGCCCTGCCAGCCCTCCCATTCAAGACCCCTAATTTAATTTTTATCTACAAGTTTAACCCATTTGGAAATTGCTATGTTCTCTTAAGTTAGAATGTTTCATTCCCCTCCAGTGGATACCCTGCTGTCCTAGCACCATTTACTAGACTGTAGATCCTGTTACCAAACATCTAACATGGCTCCTCTATTGACTGTCCAGCTTCCTTTTCTGTTCCTGTAATTTAATTCTTTTACTGCTAGTATCACATTGTTCTTATGAGTGTGGCTTTAGAATACATCTTAATATATATCATAATACATTATTTTCCTCTTACTAGTCTTAATTTTCAGAAATGTCTTGGCTATTGTGATGCATCCTTTGGGAAGCACCTTATGATCGCCTCTTGTTAAAAACCACGTTGGATGGCTGCCAGTGCTGTTGTTCTTAGCAGCATTCAGAGAAGCAGGCCCAGGGCTGTGCACACAGACTCCAGGTCTTGGTGGCTTACAGGTCCCTGGCCCTTTGCACCACGGGTCAGACATAGAGTACCACCAGTACCCTCCACTCTTTATTTTTGAACAGCCTAACAACTACAGGCCACCAGCAATCCTCAGCTTGGAGGGGACTTATTTACTACCTGAAGTTATAGTCCTCAAGCCACGATCCAGCTTGGGAGATGCGAGAGACCACTGGACTTGCTGGTCACCTCAAAGTGATTTTCATGTTTTGTAATTTTCTTCTAGGCAGTCAACTTCTTCCAAAAACCTACAGAGGGACCACAGGGAAAGAAAACCCAAACAGGTCATATTGGGATAAATGGATTTGGAAGTCTCTTGTGAGCTGAGGAGGGAGGTGAGCCCGCTCCTGGCTCAGGTAGGACAGCCTTCCGTCTATCCATCACCATGCCCTGGCTACACTCACTGCCCCAGCACTGGCCATCCCCTATATCCCCGTGACACCTAAGCTGCAAGTGCAGGAAGGACTCTGGCATGTTTTCTGTGAAAAGCCAAGCCTTCCAAGTATGGATTCCTGGGTCTGTCCAAGAGAAGGTAAGTATGTTTTATTATGGATCCTAGTGGGTTTCATAAGAATCGTGACCACGAGTCATTTTGCATCAGACACCATCTTTATTGTCTTATGTGGGTTAACTCATTTAAAACTGAAAGACACCCCAAGAGGTAGATACTACTATGCCTCCATTTCCCAAAGGGGAGAGCCAAGGACCATAAAGAGGTGAACAAACAGGCAAGTCACACAACTGGAGAGTGGTGCCCGCTTGAAGCTGCTGACAATATTGCTTAGCCCTAAACTGGGTGGTGGTGTACTCCTGTAACCCCAGGACTTGAAAGGTGGACGCAGGAGGATCAGAAGTTCAAGGTCATCCTCAGTTACACAGTCAGTTAAAATCATGAGCCACATGGGCTATATGAGACCCTGGCTCACAACAACAACAAATTGCTCAGCTCGCACACGAGTGAAAGCAGCCACCCGATCCCAGAGCAGCAGAAAAGGACAGAAGCCATAAAGCCAAACAAATGCCAGCAGAGCCAGCACTCAAAATCTGTCTGGGGCCAGTGCAGGCATTTGAAGAAAATGTCTGTGAACATCAAGGATGCCTAGGCACACCCAAAGCTGAGAGGAAGTAACACAGCGAGGGGCTCATGTTAGCCAAGTGGCTGTGCCACCCTCCTCCTGCCAGGACACAGACCTGAGTTCTACGCATCTAATCCCCATGGCAGCTTCCTGTGGGTGGGAAATACTGATGCAGAAGGAACATGGGCCTCCCACGTCGTCCTCATCCATGCTGCTCTGCCTACAGCAAACAAGAGCAATTCACAGTGCTCTGTGATCGGACTCTTGCAGCCTTTGGAGCACCACATTCATCCTGATGGTCCTAAGGTCCTCAGATGAATACCATGATGGCAACTGCTCCCCCTGCCTCTTCTACACAGCCTCGCTCTGAATCCTTCACAGTTCTACTCTGCTAATTCCAGTTCAGGTACATACAAGTGAGAACACCAGGAATTTGACACTTCTAGTCTTTAAACCTCAGTACGTAAAGAAACAGCAAGCAGCTACAAAATCCCCAGACTTAACACACACAATTCCATCTGAGCCTAATTCCCTGTCCAGCTGGCACACTGTCTTCCCAGCTCTCAAGTCAGCAAGGCTGAATCCACTCTGGGCCTCTCCTTCCCCCAACACTCAGAGTTCCTCGGAGAGATGGGCCCAGCCACTCCCTGCACCCCTTGTCACTGCCTCTGTCAGGCGCCACCCTCTCCAGCTCCAGCCCCAGCTCCAGCACTTCCCAGTGTGCTCAGTGAGAGGACACTTCCTGTGCTGGACAGCTTCCATTGTCAACTTGACATACCTGAGAAGACAGAGCCTCAGCTGGGGAATTTTCTCTATCTGACTGGGCTGTGGGCATGTCTGTGAGATAGTTTCTTGATTAGTGAGTGATGGGGGAGGGCCCAGCCCACTGTGGGTGCTGCCACCTCTGGGCTGGTGGTCCTGGGTTGTAGAGAAAGCAGGCTGAGCACAGGTCAAAGACGCAAATAAGCAGCATTTCTCTGTGGTCTCTGCTTCAGGGTACCTGCCTCCAGGTTCCTGCCCTGGCTTCCCTCTGTATGAAGAAATAAATCCTTTCCTCCCCAAGTTGGTTTTGGTCAGTGTTTTATCACAGCAATCTAAGCCCTCACTGTTCCTTAAGCCTTCCAGAAAAACTCCAAATTCCCCAGCAGGATACGCAGCCTTGCTCAGTGCCAGTCCATCCTCTGTACACATGGCCCAGAGCCCAGGTCAGGAGGAGACAATGAGGTTCCCAGGCTGGTGGAGAGGAGGGCCTTGCTGCAGGGCCCAGTCTCCCTGGTGAAGCACTTCCCTTGCCTTTCCTTCTGCCTCCTGCAGATGCCTTCTGAGGTGCTCACTCCTCCCCTGCTCTCCTGGGCAGGCCGGCCTCAACACCCTGACTCTCTGAGGCCTCTTTCTCTGTTCCTACATCTGTCTTCCCCACTCAACTTGAACCCCACAGCCAGGGCCTCGATTACAGAAGTCTGTAATTGTCCCATGCCTCACTACAAGCGGCATTCCACAAATGAATGAGCCCAGATTCTTTCTCCTCTGTCCCTAAAACCTAGATGAAGGTTCTACTAAATTGATAGTACCTAACTCCACACGAGATGCCAAACTTCAATCAATTTTTCTAATATCAAAATTTGCTTTATAGAAATTACAAATTAAAAACTGCTAGTATAGATTTTGGTATTATCTATATACAACAAAACACTTCCTATATGTTAGACAAGGTGAGGAAACCAAGCCAGATAGAACATTTGACATTAATTTTGGAAAACTCATTTCTTTCTCAGAAGGTGTTCTTAGATGCAATAACAAGAAAAGAAAAACGAAAACCCAAACGAAGACAAAACCCTGGCTCTGCCTGATGTGCTTATTTCAGAAAGGAACTTGAGCCAAGGGAGGGGGGCTCTGAGAGGCCTTAGGTATATGAGAGAGAGACCTTTACTGGAGGAGGGCTCAGAGGGCCTGTCCTAGTGCAGCCACACAAATAGCATGTGGGAGGACATTTTTGGAGCCTGTCCTGTGGTCCTAGGGTCTGAGGCCATGTGCATGCCTACTTCTCAGCTAGATTACTAAAGGTAGGAAGAGGGTCTCACTGGACAGCCAGAGAAAGTAGGAATGAAGGGACTTGTAGGCTGTACCTAGGAAGAATATGGGTGCCTTCTCTGCCACCCCTGTCCATCAGAGCACTGGGATCCCAGAGCGCCATCCAAAGTAGGACAGGACACTGGAAAAGCGTCACAGCCCCGGCCACCCTTGCAGTGGTTGCAGCAGCCAAGAAAGTTAAGGCAAAGGTGTCAACCCTCTACAGGAAGAGCCACATCCAGACCCTCAATCCAGATCAAATGTCCCTTTCCTCTTGCCCCTGCTCCAGCACCCCAGAAAGCTACTTGCAGAGAAGGGAGAAGCAAGACAGACTGCGTTCATGTTCCAATAGCTAGCTGTCCCTCACGGTGATGAGGAAAGTGAAGAATTCCCATGTGTCCTTGGGATCATATCACCTTTAAAATCACCAGCTCAGCAGAACAGTTCTTGCCTAGCACGCATGTGGCCCCAGCACTGACAAAATGCTACTGTTGATGTTAATGATACGTTCTTACTATAAGCAGCCCTGTTGTTCATTTTCCTGCAAATAAACAAGCTCTGGAGCATAGGGCGACCTGCCTCCCCAGTTGGCAGCTTCTAGATTTCCCATGCTTCCCTGGCTACCTAGAACAAATGGACTGTCAGTCAAACAGCAAGCCCTTATGTCAGAACTGGCAGCTTTAAACACTCCCTGGACGCCCTGAAGAAGCTGAATGATGATCTCAGTTCATGGCTCTGGCTTCTGGAGGTGAGCGCCAGCTCCTACTCCAGCAGTTCATAGCAGACCTTTTGCTATCAAGCCGCGATGAGCTCTAGGTGGCTCTATAGCCGTTCCACCTGGGCTGGAGGGGGAGCACTGCCCGGTAGTCTAGCAGAGGGACTGTGGTACTGATGCAAAAGGAAGGACACTGACTGGTGCAAACACAAGCCCCCACTTAAACATGGGGCTTGCTGTGATTGGTGCAAACACCCCTTTCTGGCTATGTAAGTTTGGCTCACTTGGAAGCTGGCTGGGAGACACCACACACGCACGCACGCACGCATGCACGCACACACATGTTGTCTTTCATGGTGTTGCAACATTAGGCCCAATAAAAAGCTTCTCTCCAGTGGTCTTTTCTTGCCTATTTTTGGTAGTGACTGTGCTGGTAACGTGAGGTGCAGCAGGGACATGGCAGGGACAGCAGAGGCAGCGGAATGGAAGCGACAATGGAGCAGCTGGCTCATCAAACCACAAGAGCAGTGGGGCAGCCACCTACTTGACAGCTGACTAAGAGACAGAGCTGAGCGGCCTGTAGGCCAAGCTGCAAAAGCGGCATGACAACCAGCTGTGCTGATAGCCGCAAAAAAAGACAGCCTCAAAATCAGCAACCAACAGCAGCCGAAGAGTGGCCAAAGCTGCCTCCCTAATGCCAGAAACAGGACAGCTGCCATAGTAACAAGAGACCTCCAGGGAACAGGAGAGACAGGGTGGAGAGCTGAGCCTGAAGAAAGACAGATAGCTACAAGGAGCCAGAGAGAAGAAACTGCAGGCCCTGGTTGCTAGGGGTCCAGAGCTGTCAAGTCTTTAGGACCACCAGTCTCAGACACCCTGGGCCCAGGAGCTGTAACTCTACCATTGTTGAGGGCTGAGGAATTCTAATGCCTAAACCCACCTGGAAGTTTCAACACTAGCTGCTACCAAGGACTGAGGAGTCCAGACCCTGGCCTATAGTACTTAGAGAGCTAAAGATTCCATTACTTGAGGACTGCAGGAGAGCTGAAACTCTAGATGATGCTGTCTGCTGCCCCTGCCTGCTGCCACCACTACTTGCTACTGTCAAAGGCTGAGAGATACCAACACTGCCAGGGCAGCACTTGGAGACCCTTGCCTTGCCAATGCAGGATTTCTATACACATAGAACGAGAGGACATCAGTCACCTGACTGGTAACAGTGGGAAGACTCTGCACTATGCCCTGGTGTCAGGCCTGACCATGTGACTTGCTCTGACCAATGAATGTGAACAGTGATGACAGCTATAACCTTCACACAGAACCTCCACCCCATCAGCTATCCTGGGCAGAGGCTCTGGGTGGACAGCTATGTGAGAAAGACCTTTAA